TCCTTCGTACCTGTCCAATTGACTCTCTGCACGTTGAAGCTGGGGTTGTTCCCCTGAGTATCAGACGGGAGAGCAGTACTAAAAAATATATGTGTAAATTAATGTCCATCCAGAATACACCTGTGATAAATGCGATACGTCGGGCATCTTTTTTGTTTGGAGCTAAGCCCTTCTGGCCGAGCAAGGGAATGCCCCTTTTAATTGAAATTTTTAACATGATGAGCCAATGGGAGTACCGCATATATAAGCACACGATCAAAGACTTTTTTGGCCTACCTGTAAATATTTGCTCCAAAATGTGGAATAGGGTAGATTTTATGAACAAGTGCAATGTGAATGTTTCAGTGCAGCAGCTTATACAAAGCTTCCTGTTTTTTATAAATGTGGTATGGTCTGGTCATGTGCATATCTACACAGATGGTTCAGTGATACATGACCCCAAATCTTCTGCCTATGGGATTTATATTGATGGCAATGGCCTATCTGAGAGCGGAAGGATTCCAGAGGTTTCCTCGATATTCACAGCCGAGTTATATGCAATTTGCAGGGCACTAAAACTAATTGAGAGAAACGAATGGAGTAAGAGTGTGATTTTTTCTGACTAAAGTGCGTTAGACGCTATCCAATCCTCGCAATATTCAGCCAAAATAAATTATATTGTTCTCCAAATCAAGGACAGGTTGAGTCTCTTGGAAAGTATTGGGTCAGAGGTCTCGATGTGCTGGATACCGGGACATGCTGGGATCCCTGGGAACGAAAGGGCGGATGCGTTGGCGAATGAGGGTCATATGGCCAATATGACTGACCTACTGGTTCCGTTCTCGGATATCAGTGAAATAATTAACAAGGAAGGAAGGGAAAAATGGCAGTACCTATATGATATCAGGTCAGAGAACAAGGGAAAATATTATTTCGAGGGCAATCCGAGAGTGGGAATGATACCATGGTTTAAAGATTACGAACGGGCCATAACAGATCTGCAGCTCATCTTTTTAGGATGAATTTGGTGGATTCACCGCACTGTGACTGTGGGATGATATCCACCACTAATCACATTTTTTTTGAATGTGAAAACAACAGTGCTGCTACAAAATTGCTCATAAGTGGACTAATTTCGGAAAAAGTTTACCTTCCAACATCAATAGACGTCCTGTTAAGGATGAAGGATATCAAGATATATAGACTGATCTTAAATTTTATCAAAAAATCTGGATGTGTTGTTTGAATATTTATTATATATGTATTTATTCGGTTGTCTTTGTTACCCCTTTTTAATCTGTTCTAACACTTTTTATTTAACGATCCGAGGCCTTCCCACACTGTGATAAGAGCTGATAGGTCCCTGCTCGTGAAGAGTTTGTATAAATGTTGAATTATTTTTTGTTATTTTTTTATTATTTATAAATTTACTGTATATTTATACATTAGCAGGGTGATTCTGAGTAATTGTTCAATTATTCATCTTTTTATTGTTATATTTTTTACTTTTTGCTTGATTATATACTCTTTTAGTTTGTACTAGACATTGACTGGCTACATACACTGTGAGGTGTGAGCTAAGTGCACACCTCCACTCTAGTATAGAGTGGAGGAATCAGAACAGAACAGAATCAGAACAGAAATTGATTAAAACATAATCAATTGATTAAAGTAATTGAAATTAAATTGAAATCTTCTCCAAATCAATAGAAATGTAATGCAACCTAAACTAAAACATGTACATAAAACGGAAATACGAACAAGAACAAAGGGAATCAAAGGAAATTAATTGATAATTTTAAATTGGCTCATTAATATAAAATATAAAAACCTGAAAAGAATTTAAGAAGAGGATGCAAAAGTAATTAAATTTTTTGAATAAACGCTATAATAATTGAAATTATGAAAAATATTTTTAGGCTTATTTTGAATCCCGTGTGATATAAAATCACTTACTTCTTGATGTTTTCATCTGGACATCTCCATCTCAGTCCTCATTGTTGGTCACGAACACTCGCGAAAATATACCAAAAAAAATGGCATAAACTCTGGAGTATTAATACTCCCGTGATTCTAATATTAATAAATTTTTAGCAAGATGAGTAACGAGATTTTAAATAAACTGTACTCACGGTTGAATAACAAGAGCCTTAAACTTGTTTTCAAAATAACACACAAAAACACTGTAAATCAGAAAGTACAACAAAGTTTCGGCCTATTTGACTGTAAAACCAATGGTTTAGCCCAGAGGTTCCCAAACTTTTGTGTGTCGTAGACCCCTTGCCATGTTTTTCGGTTTTGTGACATCTTTATAATTATTAAGATCTTTGCTCTGAGACTGCGCGTATGCTTGTAACAAGATGATACTGGTATATCAATATGTGCAGGTTTTTACAAGTTCAAAATGTATTGCGACCACAAAGCGAATGCCTACATCCTACAACTTACACAATTTTATTAACATATATAATATTTTTTTACTTTATAGGTACTTTTATAAATAATGTATATGTCTTTATATTATAAGATAGTGTAATGTAAGTAAATAGGTACTATCAGTGTATGTTGAGATCCACTATCGTAGACCCCCAAATTGTTTTTTCGCCGATGTAGACCCCTTGCAGGTTGTCATAGACCCCTAGGGGTCGATATAGACCACTTTGGGAATCACTGGTTTAGCCAGTGGCAAAGACTTTTCCGCTGTGATCTGTTGCTTGCATATTTCGGATACGAGCATCCACCTTCCATGCGAATCACTGCGAACGTGATAAGCTCATAGAATGACCTGGTATTTTGAATACCTTGCATCCAAATAAATAACGAATATCAATTTTTAAAAAAGTACTGTAACTGTAAGAAAAAAAATAGGAAGAAATTAAGATTTGAATTACTTACGATTGATGCCAACATCATGTCTAGGAAATTTCATTAGTTATTGCGCACATGTAATTGTAACGATGTTGACTTAAGAAAGGGTCGCGCTCAACTACGGCGTGAGGACGTCACGATCGTACCACCCGGTGCCAGGTGCGTCATCTTTTTTTTTTTGCAATAAAAATGCATTGTTGCTATCAGTTGATGACAATATTAAACAATAGAAAGGCGCAAGGGGACGCATCGGTCCGCCATTTTGTACACAATCAAATTTTTAATTAATTAACGCAAATTTCTCAAATACGAGTTATTATGGAATACGCACATTTTAACACAAGCTACGCAATCGATTAGCGAACAAATTGGGAGATTTTTCGATGCAGTGTGATTTTTTTTAAAATCACATTCGTCACCCACCTTTAATTACAGCTAAATCTAATGAGACTGTGATCTCCGATGACGGTTTTCTTAAAACACAACACAGTTCATCGGATTTAAACTAGTTGCACAACATTTTTTGAAGTTATAACACCGGAGCGAACGCCGACGCGTTGAAGCAGTTGAAGAACAAACTGGACTGAGCATCCCCCTCCACGAACCGACGCAAACGCAGTATGTGATAGTTTGCAATTGTTTATAAATTAAAAATGTTTGATAATGTCAAAACTCCCTCTTGTAGACCAATTGATAAACACAATAGCGCCAATATGACAAAAAACAATTAATTATTAATAATTATCTAATTAAATGAATGTGAAGATATGAATGAATATTGTTTTCATAGAAAATAAAGGAAATGTTAACCGATTGAATGAAATTCATCGAATCCGAACAAATTGAGTACAGTTTATGAAATTATAAAGAAATCTTAACTTCTGCATTTTGTGATTTTCATTTCTCTGTAATTCACAATCAAAGTTGAAATAAATGAAAAATTAACGATTTCACATTTATTGATCATTGTTTTTTTCTCAGAAACTATAATAGATAGAATGGATAGGTGCATATAAAAGTTGGATAATAGGGGAATGCAGAGAATATTCAAATATTGCTGTAATTTGCGTTCAGAAACTAGGGATTACTAGGGCTAGGGATTCTTCAGTAAACGTCTGATATTTTTTTAATGAAAAGTTTAAATATTCAAATTGTTTGCAGCTATTCGGTATTTGTGCCATATATGTTTATGAAATCGTACTAAAATAATCATACAAGTATTAAATACGATAATTGCGCCATCGCAGTATCAAAACACACAATTTCCTTGAAACCTAACCTACAATTTCAAGTAAATGGTCTAATAAGTATTTGTATTATTGTTTATATTCATACAACTTGTATGAAGTATAAGAAAATCCAATACAATTAAAAATAATAGCAACAATGGACGAGGACGACAATAAATTATCAACTGATTCAGATTCAAGCGATGAAGAAGATAAAGTAATATTTCTAATATTGAATTAATTTCTCACTACCTCATGCCTAATTTTTTTTATAGGCATTAATGAAAAGGGCAGAAGAAATAGAGGGTTTATTAAGCAACAACAAGTATTTATATGATCTCCATGTAGAACTTGTTGGATTGTATCAGAAGATAGTGGATTTAGTTTCTTTGCGGCAGGCCTACAAGAGATTCTACAACATCTATCCACTAACAGATACTCTATGGTTGAATTGGTTAAAAATTGAAATGGAATTGGCAACTGGTGAAGAGGAAAAGAAAAATGTTCTGGAACTTTTTGAAAAGGCTACAAAAGATTATTTGTGTATGTATAATACAAGTATTAATTATATATTAAATTAATACATGTGCATGTTTCAGCTGTTAAATTATGGTTGGAATATGCTCAACATGCTATGGGCTGCTGCTCTTTGGAGGAGACAAGAACTATTTTGGAGAAGGGCTTAAATGCAGTCGGGTTGCATGTTTGCAACGGTTCGTTGTTATGGGATACTTTGAGGGAATTTGAATTGGCGAATTTATCAATGTGTCAGCAAAATTCCGAAAATTATAAGATGCAATTGAAGAAAGTCGTCTCAACGTTTCGGAGGCAATTGTCAGTACCTCTGCTGAATATGGAAATAACATATGAGGAATGGAACGAATTCTTGAAAAGCGTAGACAATGAAGAGTTAGTAGATAACAAAGCGGTGGACTGGGGTTACAAAAATGCTTTGAAAATTCTGGAAACGTACAAACCTTTTGAAGATAAACTATTAACAGCTACAGCAGATCAAGAGATCTACAACATCTTTAAAGAATATATCAAGTCTGTAAAAGACCCGTCAGTAATCCTGTGCTTATACGAAAGGGCAGTTGAAAAGATTTGTTTGTTGCCTGATATATGGCTTGATTACTGTTATTACGCTTACGGTTTAGGCGAATGCAGCGTTAGTATAAGTGAAAGAGCTGTTAGGAATGTGACGTGGTCGGAAGATCTTTGGGTTTTGAGATTGAGGATACTCGAGAAGAACAATGTTTCCGATGCGGATGTTCGAAAGTGTTATCAGGATGGTATACATTTCATACAGAACGGTTTAGATCTGTGGATGAGCTATTTGGATTACATCAAAAGGAATTCACCGGATCAACTGATGGATTTGTTTGAAAAGGCTGAAGAGACAGAAGTGGATCCGACGCGCAAGATCACCAGGTTACACGCTCGTCTCCTCTTCAAATCGGAAGAAGCCACTAAGGCTAGAAAACTTTGGAACAGTATCATGCACGATCCAATTTGCAAGCAAAATTATGTTTTCTGGTTAGAATTGATTAATTTGGAGCGACAATTTGGTACTGTAACGTCTGTCCGAGAGACATTCAGGAAGGCTATAAATTGTTGCAAAACTGAGCAAATTATTTACGACGAATGGTTGCTGTTTGAACGGGAATGCGGTTCTGTAGAAGATTTAGTTAAATGCACCGAAAAACTTAGAACTGTCCACTTTCCGATTATCCAAGCTACGCATTATCAAGAAGCAGTTGAAACTAATGTAAAAAAACGTAAAAGAGATGCTGAGCCTTCGGGCAATAAGAAAGTTAAGCAGAATGACGGAAATAGGAAATTAACGGATGAATTGAGGTTTAAGAAAAATGATAGTAAAAACGTTGGTTTGGTTCGAAATCAAGGCGCACCTGAGAATTTGGATCACGCGAAATCCGTCTTCGTAAGCAATTTGGCTTATAATGTAACGGCTGATTCATTAGCTCCAGTGTTTCCGAATAGTAAAATTACTTTAAGCACGAATAATAAAGGATTATCGCGGTGCTTCGGCTACATCGAGTTCAAGACGGAAGAGGAAGCTGAAGCGGCGTTGCTTAGAGACCGTGAGCCCTTCGAAGGTCGCCCCATCTTCATTTCCAAGTGCAAAACGAACAAAGCCGAACGGCAAAAGATGTTCCAGTTCTCCGAGAATTTGGAACTGAATAAGCTGTTCGTGAAAGGTTTACCTTTCGCACACACCAAGGAAGACGTGGAGAAGATGTACAAAGATTTTAACTGTTTGGACGTGAGACTGGTGATGCACAAAACGGGTCAATCGAAAGGTTTGGCGTACGTCGATTTCGGAAACGAAACCGACGCGGCGAACGCTTTGAATGCTACGAATCAAATGAAGGTTGGTGAATTCGTCATAGACGTCGCGATAAGTGCTCCACCTTCGAAGAGAAAGGAATTTCCGGAACCGTTCAAAGCGCCGGAAAGAACCCTCAAACTGTTCGTGCCACGTTCAGTCACCAAAATCCAACAACCATCAACAACAACTAAAACCACCACCACCAACAATAAACCAATGAAAAGCAACAATGATTTTCGCAATATGCTTGTTAAAAAATAACGAGTTTTACATTGATTGTTTTTTTTTTTTTTTGTTTTTATTCAATATATAATACATTTAAATATATTTTCCATGGAGGAGCGAAAAGAAAAAGTTAACGATTTTCACAAATAAAAAATAATAATTAACCCAACCTCGATCATTATTACTGTTATTATTATTTCATAATTAAATAAAGAAATAGTTAAGAAACATAGACGATTTTTTATTATTTAAACAAAACAGAGCAAAGATTTTGCTATAAGAAACAATTTATTTAATTTTTTTTTGTTAGATTTGATGAAAAATACTGTTTTTTTTTTTCTTTTCTCTCAAGAAAAACTAATTATCAAATAATTGTAGTTTTTAACGTGATCATGCAAACACCTAATATAGTCGAATTACAAAAATAGACAGTTGTCACAAATATATATATATATACATAATTATCTTTTTTCAAAAAATATGTTTCTTATAACTATGTTAAACTCTTAAAACAATAAAATAACAAACTTCCAATCTTCTTACTTGTTACTTCTTCCATAACAGGTACAAAATTCAATATACAAATATATTTACTATATAAAAGGATTCGAAAAGTAGTTTTTTGTGTGTTAATATTTCTCTTTGTCAACATTTCGTATTTATCATTCAATTTGTTTATTATTTACATATATTATTATTTAATAATAATAGTGTGAGGTTGGAAATATCTCCTTCTACTGTGAAAATAGTTCATCATCATCAAAAAGTATATAGATATATATATATTCTTTGTATACGCAACTTTCCCCATCTGCGATGGAATTTGAGCATGGAACGAAAAATAATAAAAAGTAAACTTAATAAACACGCATGTAGAAAATTCAACCTTCGAATTTCCCCTCGAAATTTAGCGACGTCGAGAGAAAAATAGATGGAGAGGAGAAATCCAAAAGGAATCTTTTGGCATCCTTACTAATATCAAACCCTACTTACAACTAATAAAAAATATAAACTTAGCATTAAGGAGAAACACATAAAAATTTGTACAAACATCAAAATATATTATATTCATTTTGGACTTGGAAAATTGTATTGCAAAAAGAAAAAAAACTTAAGACAAAATTGAGAGAGCCATTTCCAACATGAACAATTCATATTTAAAAAAAAAAAAAATAATAATAATATTTTAAACAAAGCATAAATGTAACTACAACTCACGTAAGAACTATATTCAACCTTACATATTAAGATATTTACCAAAGGTATTTTAAAGGCACATTGCGAAAGATACTTTGAAGAAAAAAATAATAATTGAGATATAGCTCAGTTTCATACGGCTACACCTGCACGTCCTCTTGCTCCTTTTCCCGTTGTCTCACGGCGACGGCGGTCTCGACGAGCAAGTACAGACATTTGAACTTATCCTTGTCCTCGCCTTCGGGCGGCGTCGGTGGTGGAGACGACGGGAGCATCGGCCCGATCGAATGGGCGGGCATCACCTGCACTTTCGGATTGGTCAGGGGGTGCGGTAATTGCGGCAGATGCGCCAATTGCGGATGGGAGGAGCTCCAATAGTCACCACCACCACCACCGCCCGTCGCTTTCTCATCTTCGACGGAACTGTACTCAACAAAACATCAAATTAGTTATCAAAAAAAAAATGAAGTTCGTTACAATTTCTTCGCTTACCCTCTGCAGGCCGGATGTTGCGCAGCATCTTTGCCACCGCTAATACCGTATCTGATGACGGGCCAAGGATTGAATTTCTCTTCTTCGCTCGGACTCGAACTCTCGTACTCGTTAGGACTGTCGCCCTCGGACCTATACAGCAACGTCAAACTCTCATCATAGTCGTGATCTAATCTTATTCTCTTTCCCCCAACCGAAGGGTCAACTTCCCAAGCAACCTGATTCTGTTCCGGCCCCAGAGGACCAACGTTAGCCAACTTCTTGCCTCTTCTCGAAATCGTATAATGCAACGGATCGTGTCCTTCTCGTCTTATCATCTCAGGTAATATACGTCGTCTTGCATTTATAAACCAATTGCAAACTTGCAATACAGTCAGATTGGCCTCCTGCGAGAGCGTAATTTTCTCTGCGTCACTCGGATATGCGTTATATCTGTGCTCGTACAACCATCTCTTCAGAATCTTGACTGAATGCTTCGGCAGATTTCCGCGTCTTTTCCTCACCGGTCCAATACCACCATGATGATTTATACCAATTCCAGCCAATTGCTGCAACGCAGTCTCGTGCTCCTCCTGATCCGAACCAGAATCATTTTCGTCTGTGCTACTCGTGGATTGGAAACGGTCTCGATCTGTAAACATGATTTCCTTATTCAAAAAGAACCACTTCTAATATACAAAAACAAAATTTGTTTTGTTGCCTTGTCAGTATTCAATATTTGTTACTTTTTCCCAGTTTTCAAAGCTGACGTTTTTTTTTTCACTCACGCAATTTTTTGAAAATAAACAAAAAGTAACTGCTCTTTCATTCTACCTATTCATATATTTTTATTTTTCATAAATACATAGTTAATTACAGTTGCGTTCAACGCGAAAAGATAACAAAAAAACGAATAATATATAAACAATTATATTAAGAAAACTTGTTCTGTTGCTCACTTTTTTTTTCTAAAGCACGCTACTAGATCAAACAAGGACACAATGAATTGTGCCAAGCGCGGCAGTTAACGTCAACGTTCAAATGTATTAACTTAATGTTATGATTAATGATTTAATTAATAGAAAACGCAATAAGAATAATATAAAAGCTTAATGTAATATTGTTATTATTATTATTATTGATGAAACTTCAAAAACGGGAGCTTTTTGAAAAATAATTGTTGCTTGATTGACATTTGACAGAAATGGCTACCTCGTGGTTTCCAAGATACACATTCAGAATTAAACTATTTTAAATTAAAACAATGCAGATAAAAGTGCAAAAGGTGCAACATGCGAAATGCTGCAGATCGAAAACAAATTTGGATGGAATCGAGTGGAGGAGAAGCAACTTACGGGATTTCATCTTCTTGCCTGACAGTTAAAATGTCAGAGAGCCACAAGCGTGATTTTGTTTACGTAACTTTTCTCAAAGAAATAATTCAATGAGACCGGCACTATCGTTACAATTTCTTCGCAACGCAATTATATGGAACTCGGTATTTTCAATATCAAGTTTGTTGTTGTTGCGACAACAGATTGATCACCTCATAAATGTGGAAAACGCGATGTAATTTTAAAACATGCAATGCCGTTCGCGGCTATTCGCAAATTATATTTCATTATAGTCCAATGGTGACACACCGTCTCCACTCGATAACACCTCACAATCACGATACAATTGTTTTTGTTTAGAGGCGACAAACGCAATTTGTTTTAAGACTTTTCAAAAGCAAACTGTTCGACCACTAAAACACTCTAACGCTCACGCGTGCTTTTTAATGTGACAGCTCGGAATGGCGGTCAAAAACAAATGTCTAACTTGACACCGACGCCAAGCAGCCGATAATATAGAATCCTATAGAAATCCCATTCAATATTTGTTTCTATCAATTTGACAATACTCAATTCACAATACAATATCTTGAAATACATTTAATTATTCTCTGTTCTCCTAGTATCAATTTGTTAATGATTTAAGGTCAATATTTTTAATATGTCAATGATGGTACGACTGGAAATTTAATTTTATCAAGTTGGCTATTTGTTTACTGTAAGTCAGTCAAGACATAAAAATTGTAGCATTATTTCAATAATTCAGTTCACTTCGCAACTGTTCGCAACGTTTGTTGTCGAGTATATTCTTTAATTTCATTGAATCTTTAAATACACACATTCATTTAAAATGTCCTATCAATTGTACAGAAACACAACTTTAGGGCATACTCTTCAAGAGAGCTTAGACGAATTAATACAAGTGAGTTTTTAACCTTTAATTGTTATTTTCTTTTTGTGTGTGAAAAAAATAGTTATTTTTAATGTAATTCTCTTCTATTCCAGTATGGCCAAATTACTCCACAGCTGGCATGCAAAGTATTGCTGCAATTCGATAAATCCATTAATCAGACATTGGCCACAAGAGTTAGATCCAGGCTGACATTCAAAGCAGGAAAATTAAACACCTACCGATTCTGTGACAATGTATGGACCTTCATGTTAAATGATGTTGAATTCCGAGAAGTACAAGAGATCATCAAAATTGATAAAGTTAAGATTGTAGCATGTGATGGCAAAAGTAAGTATTCATGCATTATTTTCCATAATACATTTTTTTATAATGAATTATTAATGTTTTAGATGTTGAAGGAGAAGGCCCTTCGAAGAAGTGAATATGTATGTACACTAAATTAGATATTGTTATTTACCATCCACTTGGGTTGTGTTTATTTTGTATGTATTTTACTTTTTAAAAGGTTGTGTGATGTAATATATAAATTTAATCACTTATTTGTAATTTAATTTTATTGAGATTCAATCATCAAATATAACACTTCTTGAATGATTAATAATTTAAAAAAAAAAGTATACAAATTTATTTATTAAATTTGATTTAGTCGTTGTCAGCAAGATTGCCAAAAATATAATACATATAAAGTTATATAAAAATATACCAAAATTTAATATATATATATATATGGACTATCAATCTTTAATATTGTTAAGTTACTTTAAAAACTTGTACTCTTTTTCTTCTATATTTACTTGTATTTATCAGGGATTTTACTTTTATTCCAAAACAAATGAAAGATAAGTAGTGGTATCAATAAAATCGTGTGTGCGGAAAAAAAACAATTGAGGGAATAAAAATAAAAACCAACGGGTCTTAAAAAAATATGAAATAATAAGTAAATAATACTGTTTATAAAAGATATAATAATAATATATATATAAGTTTTTTTTTTTTGATAGAAAAATATAAACTAATTTTTATCTGGAATCTGTTTATTTTTCTGTTCTCTTTTCTTTAAAGCTTCTTGCCTTTTCCTCTCTATCAGTTCTTGCTGTCGCTTGCTTTCCAATCTAGCTAAAGCCATTTTTCGTTTCACCTCTATCTCTTCTGGAGAACATTTTATTGGAGAGGTGTCAGCTGGAAAACGTTTAGTTTCACCGCGTTATTATTAAGTACACATAAATCTAGAGAGTTGATACTTACAATCACTTGTTTCTTGCATTTGTTTTGACTTCAATTTAGCTTTAGCTTGCAACCGTTTCCTCTCAATTTCTTCTTTAAGTTTATCATCAATGATAATATCTTTCTTTTTATTATTAGTGCAATGATCTCCAAAACTCAAACTTCTGGCTTTAAATTTCAATGGGGAATTGTTTGGGGTGACTGGATTCTTCGGTAATTCAAAATGAACTTCCTTCGAATCATTTGTGCAAGACTCGTTTCTTAATTCATGCATTTTACTTATAAAATTGAATTGCGACTTTTTCGTAACTTTTCGGACCGGCGACTGCGCCATAGCCGAATCCAACGTGTTCGAACTTAAAGATTTTGTTAGAAATTTTCTGGGGCTATTTGAATGCGTTGGTACCTGTAGTTTATTAGGTTCGCTTGCCTCCGCAACACCTTCATTCTCCGATAATTTATTTTCAGGTTCTTCTGCTGGTTGTACATCCTTTTCATATTTTGCTTCTATTTGTTGACTGACTAATATCAATTGATCCTCAATGGAATCATCAAATAAATTATCAAAGGATTCACTGTTATTGTCTGTGCTATCATGAGATTCCAATTGAGAATCGTTTTCTGGATTGATTTCCTCTTGAAACGCTTTCAACTGCTCCTTCAGGTTATCAAAGTTCTCCAGTTGAGTGCTTGATGATTGCTTTTTGATGGGTAACTTTGGTGAAGCTGTTTGAAGTAATCGTTTCTGTTTCCTGTGTAGATTCAGTTTCGATTGAGGAGAATTCCAGTCCCACATAACATCAACATTTTCTGTTGATTCCTGTGTGCATGGTAGAAACACTGGACTGTAAGCTTTATCAGTTTCTAGGTGCCTTGTATTCTTAGTTGGTGTACTGGCAATTGCCACTGCATTTGATTTTTCTTCTACGAAAATTGATTGCATTAATATTTGTATGATACTTTTTATCAGAAATACGTTACCCTGCTTCTCTAACTTATTATATTTTCGTGGTATCTTTGCCTTTGAGTTGCTACTGCTCATCATACAATAAACTTTTCAAGATGTTTACTTATTACAATCAGTTTTTGTGCGATCCAATTGGATTGGATCCAACTTTGATAAATCAGTTGAATATTTCTATGGGAATGAACATCATTTTTAGGTTAACACAGGTTAACATTCACAGTACAGCTGATCGGTCAACCTGTTGTACCATTACCAATAGCAAAATGATGCCTAATAAGTTGCATACCTTGCAGTTTTTTTTGCCTATTTAGTCAGAAAATTAACCAATTGCCTATATCTATCTCATGCAATTCTAACCGGTGGCAATGGAAATACCGTCAATCAAAATCCCGACTATATAGTGGATTGTGATTGTCGGGATTCTGGTTGTCGGGCTTTCAATATAGACCCAATGCTACCTTATTGGTTATCGGTCCTTGATACAATTTCTCAGCCATTCATTCCTCGTAATTCACTGAAAAATTCGAGTAACACTGGATGATAACATATTCCAATTAAAATATATTTATATTATGCATAATATATACAATATCCCATTTCCAAAGGCTTAAAATTGAATTTATTAGATCACTAATTTATAACAGGTGTTGGCTTGCAGACCTTGAGCCACCTGTACAGGAGAAGTTGAAAACAATTTAATAGGTAAACTCCAGACCATTGTTTCTATTGGTAAATCAATTGGGGCTCTCCACTCCAGATCATCAACAGCTGGTCCATTCAATTCTTTGCTTGTACTGGTAACAAACTCAAAATGTAATCTCCATTTCAAGCTCACCAGTTGCGTAGTGAATGCTGGCGTCACGTGCAACGGAATGGGCAGAATTAATTGAGTATACTGAAGTCCTAAGCACACCTCATGATGTTTGCTGAACGTTACAATTTGAATTTGATTATTCTTCTCAGCAGCTTCCTTAATTGTAGTCTCTTCCTCGCATTGCAGAGACACAGAAACTTGCACGCATTTCACTGAAGCCATCGTAAAATCGAACGTGCCGATAATGTCTTCACCCAATTTATAAGAGGGCTTAAATAAACAGAAGCGCGCCACTTTGCCCCAAGTATTGGAAATCATATAAAAATTAGGGTTTCTCCTTGCTGTTATATTCTAGAAAAGTTATTGAATTTACTATTGTTTCAAGTAAATGCAACAATAATAGTGATACCTGTAGAGCTTGCAAAGCAAATTCAAATGGAGTTTCCTTCTCTTTCTCATTCACCTCCAGAAATGGATTTGCTGGTGAAAGTTCCTCTGAGGTATCATTGCACAAACAAGCTGCATCACCAAGTCCGTACAGATTGACTGGTAAAACTCTGATTGGAACTTTCAATAGTTTTATAGCATTGTTCACCCGTTGCATGCCAACAATAACTTTGTAAGAATATTTAACCAATTGTCCTCTGTAAGAAGGTGGAGCATCATTTGGAATTTTCTCTCTATAGATAACTGTAAATATAGATTCTAATATTTTTTTTATTCTCACTATCATAATTTACAAATCCAAGTGGATCAAAACTTACACGTTCTACTTTGTCCTGGCGACAATCGTAAATCGCAAAATAATATTCTAGGTTTTGTTGCTATCTCAATATGTCCCACATCCTGTGTGCACATCGCCAAAGAGGTTTCACTGTGTTTCAAGTTGTTGCCTTTATCTACCTGCTTCTTCACTTTATTGTCAGTTGTGCATTGACAATTAATTTGAGCGGAAGCCCATGCGAGACATTCAAAACTATCATTGTGACTCTGGGACACTTTGTGGGCTGCAGACTTTGGATGCGAGAATGTTATGGCGCATTCGATTTGCTCACCGGATAGATACACGGGGCCACGAATTAATTTCGCAGTCACCTCGATCATTTTTAAAAGGATTTGCAAAAAAAAAATATTATTGTTATTATGACATATGCTGTCAATATTAGTTGTCAACTGAAATGTCACATAGCCTCAAAAACAGAAACACTTTGTGCTGATTTGCGCACTTTGGCATATTTTGACTTAAAATACACACGTTGTCAAATATAACTTTAAGACAGTTCAAAAAAGAAATATAGCCTTATAAATTAGGAATATTGTAGTTTAATTTTTATAAATAATTATGCGATTATCAATATTTGCGATGTTTAATTCAATTTCGATACATATTAAGCGTAAATGAGTAAAGTTGAAAAGTAAATTAATTATATTTGGCAACATCGTTCTTGAGGTTGCTTTAGTGATTTTGTGATGGTGGTGGTCTTTGTATGTCAAAAAAAAATGTGATGTTGTTTCATCTTTAAATGTATTTTAGTGTTTTAATTTACTAAAAAATTTAATTAATTAGTATTAAGCGAAACGCCGAACGCTCTCAACTCGAAACGTGAGTGCCAGCCACCCCCACCCGATTTACAGTAATCATTTACAGCACACGTACAGGTGTAATTCGTTGGGTAAGAAGACGTAAAAGACATTGCTTTACATATTGGTATTTACCTTTGCAGGTGTCCTAACGGTATATTTCGTAAATTCTACAATTAACAATAATGTAACAAGCATAGAATGTAAATGATTTCTTTGTTTTTTTTTTCACAGATTTGTCCAAAGCAAAACACTAAAATGGATTCTGAAAGTCCTGAAATATCATTCCTCTTCCAATTCGGTCTCACCAGAGATATAGTGACAGTCACCCAGTCTTCACTGAACTTGAAAACTATCAAGGATTTAGCTTGTGATTTTATAAATAATAAGGTACATGTTTGAAAGATGTTGCCTCAAACAAACACAGAAAGAAAAAAAAATAAATTCATGTTTTTTCAGATTCCTGATCATGGAATAAACCATCTGAGTGATAGGATACTTCTATTCCGACATGAATACAACTCTCATAATATATTGCAAGTGCTGAATGCAATAACAGATATTGGAGATGAAACTTTGGTGGAAATAGTTTTGACTGGAAAAAGTATGATGTTTTGTATTGAGTTACATATATAGTTATCTTTAATTTCTTTTATGTATGAATGTAGCACCATCTGCAAGTAGTATTCCAGATATTACTATTGTGAGGCCTCACGCGCTGTCCGTGCATTCGTATAAGACTCCAACGTTTTGCGATTTTTGCGGAGAAATGTTGTTCGGTTTGGTGAGGCAAGGGCTGAAATGCGATGGTAAGGATGCTGACCAATTGCATGAATAAAATACAACATCAACTTAAATGTATGTTATGTTGAAGGTTGTGGGCAGAATTATCACAAGAGATGTGTAATTAAAGTTCCAAATAATTGCACGTATACACTTTTGGAGGAGAAGCAGAGGAGACGTTCCAGCAACTTGCAAGTACCTAGGAGTCCGTCGGGTGGATCCAACTGTTCACAAATGTCTTCCAATTCAATGATCACAACAAATAGTACTGATGATAACACATTGGTAAGAATAACAAACTTTTTTACCGGTGTCAACTTAGACGATTAATTGACAACAACAACAATTTGATATATCGTTATTACTCGAAATATTTTTTACTCTCTTTACATTATCGGTATTTGGTATTTAGTACTTAATGATTAGACTGATTTAAGTTTTGATATTACTTATTTTGTTTTTATTAAAAATAAAAACTTGTATTACTTGTTCTTAGGTGGAGGGAATATTCGTATTAGTATTATTTTATTGTTTATATATAAATTTTATATTATATTTTTTTCCTTGTTTTGTTTAATATATGTTGTAAATTCTTAAATTTATTTTTATTTTTTTATTTTTACCTTTACCTAAAACCAAGTAATATTTTATATAATTAGTTTAGAATGTGTAACGTAATTGATGTGTAATTACGACGATGTGTAAATACTTTTTAAGGCTCCGAATCGTTCGCCGTCGTTAGGTGGTGGTGGCGGAGGTACTCTCTCTTGGGCAAAGAAAGAAATTTCCGGACGTGTTCGTATACCGCACACGTTCGTACTGCACAGTTACACTCGCCCGACTATCTGCCAGCACTGCAAGAAACTGCTGAAGGGTTTGTTTAAGCAAGGTTTGCAGTGTAAGGATTGCAATTACAATGCGCACAAGAAGTGCATTGAGAAAATACCAAAAGACTGTACCGGAGAGCTGCCAAAAGAACACTTGGATGCTGGTAGAATGCTTAATACATTTTTTGATTTGTGTTTGTTTTTACCTATTTTTGTATGTTAATGCAGGAAGTAACTTAGATCTAGAGAGTTCGGTGAGCAGCGGAGATGGAAGTCAATCAAATTTACATTTGACAGAGGACGAGAGCGACACCGATAAGATTTCATGTGATCTCTTCCAATTCAATGGAAGCTCTTACACCGAAGTCTTTCCAGTTCACGATGACGATAAAGATTCGATTCCTTCCAGGTATTTCATTCATTCATTTATATTATTATTTATGTATAATCTCGAACGTAACTTTTCCTAAAACTAGATTTTTGAATAGACGTTCACAAATTGACATTTTTTAAACGTATTTTCGAAAATACGTACATGACTTTACTGATCTATTCAGCATTGGGCTGAAAATATTAGATTTTTTTATGTTTGGATATCAAAATAGTTTCTATAAGTATAGGTTTAAGATTTCTACACTACAGCAAATATACATTAATTTGCTTATTGTTCAATTTTTTATATTAATTTATGTTAATTCTATGTTTAGTTCTTCCTCATCCCCAAGTGCTAATATTCCTTTACAACGAATCGTTCAGTCTGTGAAACATACAAAGAGGAGAGGTTCGAAAATTATTAAAGAAGGATGGTTGGTTCACTTTACAAACAAAGATCGCACGGTAAGATGAAAATCGTAAATGGAAATTATCTAAATACAATTTTGTTTACGTTCTTCGTAGGTGAGAAGACATTTTTGGCGGTTAGATACGAAGTCTATAACGCTGTTTCAAAGTGATCAGGGCTCAAAATATTATAGGGAGATTCCGTTATCCGATATTTTGGCAATAGATACGGCCCGACTGAAGCAGGGCGAAATGATGCATTGCTTTGAAATTCGTTCAGCGAACATTGACTATTTCGTTGGTCAGGATCCACTCTACGATCTGCAGGAAGGTAACTCTGTCTCGCTACCGCCACCCGATAGCGGCATAGGGGCTTACTTGGCTAGAAGCTGGGAGACGTCGATACGGCAAGCCCTCATGCCAGTTACCGCAAACAAAAGTATATGAGAACATAATTTAATAATCTCCTCGAACGCATATTCTAACTAGTGTGTTTATTTTAGGATCTGAAGATACCAATGAATCTGAAGAACATGTCACGGACATGAGTCAAATCTTTCAGATATTCCCCGACGAAGTATTGGGTTCGGGGCAATTCGGTATAGTTTATGGCGGCGTTCATCGTAGGACGATGCGATCAGTCGCAATCAAAGTAATTCATATACAACAAATGATGATACATTTCTGTATACTAACTGTAATTGTAAATTTAAGGTGATAGATAAGTTACGTTTCCCAACGAAACAGGAAGCGCAATTAAAGAACGAAGTGGCGATACTGCAAAATCTGTCGCATCCGGGCGTCGTCAATTTGGAGAAAATGTTCGAAACTCCGGAACGCATCTTCGTGGTGATGGAGAAACTAAAAGGTGATATGTTAGAAATGATTTTGTCGCACGAGAAGGGAAGACTCAACGAGCGTGTCACCAAATTCCTGATTACACAGATTCTAATTGCTTTGCAACATTTACATAGTAAGAATATCGTGCACTGTGATTTGAAACCCGAGAATGTTTTGCTTAGTTCGGACGCGGAGTATCCGCAGGTGAAGCTCTGCGATTTCGGGTTCGCGAGGATCATCGGAGAGAAGTCGTTCAGGAGATCGGTCGTCGGCACTCCAGCCTATTTAGGTATTAGATTATTGCATAATGTGTGGAAGAGGAAATTAATCACAGTATGTTGATGTATAGCTCCAGAAGTATTAAGGAATAAAGGATACAATAGATCGTTGGACATGTGGAGCGTGGGCGTCATCGTGTACGTCAGTCTGAGTGGAACGTTTCCTTTCAATGAAGACGAGGACATCAACGAGCAAATTCAGAACGCCGCCTTCATGTATCCATCGAATCCGTGGAAGGAAATATCCTCAGATGGTAAAAATATACAAATCATTAAATTGCATAATTCCAATTTACTTCTCTTCTCATCTAGCCATCGATTTAATCAACAATTTACTGCAAGTCAAACAAAGGAAACGCTACACCGTTGATAAATCTCTTCAGCATATCTGGCTTCAGGTACCATATCATTATTAATCATTTGTTTATATAATTATTTACGTTGGTTATTTGTTTGCAGGATTATCATACGTGGTGTGATTTAAGATCTCTGGAGAAGCAAATCGCAGTAAGATATTTGACGCACGAATCCGATGATGCGCGCTGGGAACATTACCGTTCCGACTGCCTCTGACCATCCAGCAAAAGCTGGCTAAATAATGTTAAAAAGTGTTTGCGCACATTGAAAACCTAGCCAAATGAGACTTTGCTATAATGATGCACCCAAAATAATTGCAAATCATTATAGCACTGCGCGCCTGTTACTATTTCTATACATTTTTAACTAATCGCTCTCCCAAAACACGCGTTTAAGTTGGAGAAAACATGAATATTTTTTTATTAATTATGTTGAAGTATTATTTTTTTTTTAATGTAAGACATTAATAATAACAAGGCAATTTACTCTCACTAATAAAATATTAAAAAAAAGATATTAGAAACAATATGGTTATTATTAATGATCTTAATTAATTGCGACTGTTCTTTATTTTTTGTTATATTCGTCGCAATTTTTAAAAAAAATTGCCTACATTCCTACAGTTTTATGATTTTCGTTATGAAATACGTCTATAATCGAAATTATGATACTCTAAATTTTAACGTGTAGATCTATCTATTGTTATGTAATATATATATATATATATATATATATGCAAATTTATGTTTTGTAAATTGTATAAAACTTGCGCCTCGAGCACGTAGAACAAAGTATACAGTTTACACTCTTTAATCCAGTTACAAAATTACTCTTATTATGTACGCGATATTTATTTATTTACTTTTACGATGGAATTATGGACTTGCTTGCTCGTTCAAAGTGTGCTGAAGAAGCGAAGTACATTTATACGCATAAATAGATGGATTTAGTTGTATGGAAATGAAATGATAAAGAAAAAAACATGTTTGGCCTAATTCATGTGCTTCAGTATTGTAATTAAGTATTTTGTTAACCACATATACACATACTCTCTATCTATCTCTCTCTTAAACACATAAAAATATATATATATGTATTGTAATTTGTTTTGATATGATGTAAACTTGGGTACTGGGTCAATTAAATTATTATTATTATATTTAGAAGAAAAAAATAATGACTTTACTTTCTGTGTATACCTAATAATTTGAAGAACTGAGCGTAATTTTACGTAAGTATTAAACATATTTCTATCCAACGTCTCTCAATTCTTATAGGTCAGCTATAATTGACAGCTGTGTCCAAATCAACAAAAAAGGTCGCTCAATGCGATTGTTTAAATTCAATTAAATAAATATTATTAACACAAATGCGTGATTTTACAGCGCACATGAATATTGATAAATACCTGCGCCCTTTTTCAAGAGATACCCTTGCACATTCAATGTGCTCAATATATAATCAAACATGTCTTTGTTATTCTGCAAACCCATTTGATTCGCGATGAGCTTCAATCCATCCGTATCGAAACACGTTTTTCCGGTGATCTCAACTTTCCGTTGTAAATTCTCCAAATATCCTTTCAGCTGTTAAATAATCAATTATATCAATATGTTTTTAAAGAAAGAAAGAAAACGCACCAATGTCTGTTTGCTCGTATTAGGTTTTCTTTGGGTTCCTGTCAGAATTTCTCCGTCTTCAGAAAAGGTATCTAGTAAGCTGAAACGCGTAATTTCCACCACATCGTTGGCATCGTCGCTCGTGGCCAATTCGCGAAGCTCCAATTTCGCTCTAGCCTTTACAGCATAATAACAATATTAAAATCTTATTCAAATTTAGAATTAATACCTCAGTCAATCGGACCAACGATTGCAATTGCCTACAAGTTACGAACATCGAATCAGGATTGCTGTGCTGTTTCCTCAACTCTAAGTAAAACTCTTTGAGCACGGTCTGCGCGTCCTTGCTTAATTTGGGATGCACGTATTTCCTGGCATAAGCTATGTACTGTCGCATTAGGAAGTGTGGAAGATGATCTATGCTTTCGCCGTTGTTCACTTTTAAACGTTCGCTGAAAGCAATATACATACATAAATATAAAACATTAAAACCTAAAGTTATACCTTAGAGGAGTTGATTCATTTTGATAAGTGGATTGAGTCGATGCGTTGGATGATCCAAATGAACTGTTGTTTCTCTTCTTCGAATGGAATGCAAGCACGTGTTCTGAGAGCTTCATATCTAATTGCTATAAAAAACAACACACAGTTATTAACAAATCAAGAATGAAATTCGATTTAGACGGACCTCGTTCGGTTTATCCATCAAAATGAATATTAGATCGAATCTCGAGAGGAGCGGAGCGCTGATCTTTAAATTTTCCGCAACACATTTCGCTTTATTGTAATGCCCGCCGGCCGGATTTCCCGCAGCCAATACGCTTGTCTTCGCTGGTAATGTGCAACGGACGCCCGCTTTCGCTATACTGATGCTCTGCTGTTCCATCAATTCTAATAAATACTGAAACAATATAAAATTTAAAAAAAAATTGAAGCGACGATTAATAAATAATTTCTCTTACCGAATGGTGCTGCGACATTTTATCGAATTCATCGATGAAGCAACAGCCTTGATCGGCGAGGACCAGAGCTCCGGCTTCTAGAGCAAAGTCTCCACCGTTCTCTCGCGTTAACATCGCAGTTAAGCCGGAAGCGGTGCTTGTGTTGCCGCACACGTAAACACCTCTAGGCGACACATTGCAACAAGATTGCAGCATTTGGCTTTTACCTAGGCCGGGATCGCCGATCATCAGTATGTGCGAATTCGAACGAGAGTTTCGAGAATTTTGCGTCCCGCCGAAAAGTCCCAGCAATAAGCCAGCCTTCACCATCTCTAGCCCGTAGATGGTTGGACACAGAGAATGCACGAGTAAACGAAATAAATTAGGCTCAGCGTGAATTTTCTGAAACATTGGTTAATTAACGTATCTGCTAATAAATACTTATGACAAAATACTTGTATAGCGTAATAAGATATTCCATCGAGTTTCTTTTTCTCATTGATAATAGAAATGCAGTCCAAATATAGTAAATACATTGTACTCTGCCTCAACGCATTAGCCTCCTCTATATTATGCACCTACAATCAATCAATTTATAAACACAACGAAATGTGTACTTGTAATTAAGTTACCTTTAAAACACCGGTAATTAATACGTCATCGCCTGGCGTGCACTGATCAATCAGATCATCAGATAACTCGCATTCCAAAGTTCTTGGAATCCTGGCAATCTGATCTTCAGAATATCCAAGGAGTTCTTGCAATTTTATAATTTGCCTATTGAATTTCCTGGAGTATGGAGATGATAGCAGTGGATTAAACAATTTCAGTTGTCTACAACCTGTACTCAAACACTTAATCGGCATAGTGTAATTCCCATTGAGTTGTTCAACAACTTGAGTTCCCAAACATGTTGCACACGAGAACGCCAATGTTTTAGCGGACATTTCCAAAGGGCACCTCTTAATTACAGTACCTCTCACACTAATTAGTTTACCTACAATCATATAAAATGTTAAAAAAAAAGTGTTTATGTGTTGTTGATAATACAAATCACCATATAAATTGACTTTTAGCTTTCTGATTTGCAAAATGGGGTCATTATTTAATACTCTGCAAAAGATTTTTGGGAACAAACTGTAAGTGTTCTGCTCAACATCTTTATCATTATAATTCCTTTGCTGATCTTTCAACACCACTTGATGCATTGCCAGACCCATGCACGAAAGACAATACTCAGTATTATCAATTATTTCTGCAGAGAAATTGTCCCATTCTCTGTTGAATTCTGTATCATTCAGCAGCAACTTTAGATCTACATGAAAGTTTTGCTTCTCCTTGATTTTCATTATGGGAAACAGAGTGATATTTTTATAAATGTAACTGGCAAAAGTTTCTGTATTTGATACAAGTTTCTCGATATTGTTTGATCCTGCACACAACAAAAAAAAACAAAAACGAATTATTAATAGATGCAACATCATAATAGGCTGTATATACCTTCACTGTTGAAATACAATTGAAAACCGGAATACCCATAGCAGCTTTTCACTTTGTAATTGTAAATTTCAGTTACGTTTTGAACTTTCGATCCCTTGCGATATTTTTTGTATCCATACATTGTTATGATTTGGTTTGTTTTGATACACAATTTTTAAACAAATGTCAACAGATAACAATTAAATTTATTAACATGCGATACCAACAAAAACATCAAATAACATTGTATTTTAATTTATTACCAACTTTATTTTAGCAAATATTATAAAATTTAGTTTAAACCGTTTAAACTATATTTTCATCATTTTTTTATAATCAAATATGATGAGTAAATATATTTATTATTGAAATATACTTATTTACTAATTTCGGTATTAAAAAAAGCAATCACATAAATTAAATTATTTTAATTATCAATTTAAAGATTTCGCATTAAACAATTTACTTGTACACTTGATGTAAATAGTTATTAGGGAGAAAAGAAAAAGTTTTCTATTTATGTATGAAATAGATGAAAGTTTTATATAAAAATAATAATACCGTTTTAGGATGTTTGTGTGTTAGCCACAAGTGCAGGCAACATTCCATAGAGTCGCTCAGTTTTGTGAGTGAGCAGAACAGAGTCAAAACTGGTCAAAACTTAATTGACAGAACCGAGAAAAGTTCAAGAAAATTTAGATTGAGATGTTCTGTACGTGAGAGTAAAAAGTTTGGAATTGGATGTATCAAAACGTGGTTCGATATGGAATTGAGAGGAGAAATCGATTTATGAATCGACGAAAAAGCAAAGTCGCAGCATTGAAAACATTTGGCGAAAGTATGAAGGGAGGTTAGGAATGCGGGGCAATTGCCCAGACGAATATTCAACATGTAAGCTTTTTTAAAAATAATCCTAATTTCCACGTTAACTATATTAACTATTTGTATTATTACTATTTGTAAATTATTATTTTTATGAATAGAATAATTTAATTTAATTATGTATTTATTGATATATTTCTTCTTCTCTTTTTTTTCAGTATGTGATGAAATGGTTGAGTGAAACCAAATATGTCAGAGTTTTTGCCACTATGTGATTTACTGTTCAATGTGGTCTCACTGGCAGCCTATTTCTGTGACATAGTATTCGATATCCTGGTGGTTTATGCCTTATACAACAAGGGATCTATTCTGATTGTGGCTCAGTGCTTAATTGTGATACTCCTTACAAGTTTAATAACGCAAATCGTATCTGCTTATTGGTACTTGAAGGGAAAACCAGACGGATGGAAGCAGTATGCAATTGTGACATTGCATATACTGCAATTTGGTGTAGTTTGGAGATATGCCAGACTTCTGGCTCCGGTGCAGCTGGAGAATGTTAAGAAAGAAGTCAGAGATTTGTGCATTCTAAGACTAATTCATGCATTCCTTCAGGCCGCCCCAATGCTACTGATTCAGCTATCATTGTTGGTAGTTGGAGAGAGCGGAGAATTGACAGATCTGGTCACAGTGTCCGCAGCCCTGTCCCTGTTCTCGGTTTGCTGGGCGCTGGCTTCGTTCAGCAAACATGTGCAGAAAGTGGAGAAATTGGTGCTCACCTGGCTGGGAGTCCTGTCGCAATTGCTTTGGAGAGCCGGAACAGTTACTGCGAGAGCGCTGGCGCTTTCCGCGTACGCACATAGTTACCATTCATGGATATTTTTAGTGCTCGCATTGCATTGGGCTTGCATGTTCCTGTGGCTGGTATCGCCGAGAAGTGCGTTTTACGGGGAGAAAGGAAAACGCTTAGGAATTTGCGTGCTCGTTGCGGGAGTTTACGTTCTTGCGTACATCAATCTGCAGGATAAACCGCACGGCAGAACTATGGCCGTCTTTTACGGAGTGATGCTATTAGAAAATTGTTTATTAGTCACTGCATGTTTAGCAGCAATTTGGTCGGTGAAACCACCGAATTGGCTTCTTCTACCGGCATTAACTATTTTCTTATTCTTCGGCGGCCTCCTCTTCATGCTCATTTACTACCGATTCTTTCACGTACGCCGAATAATGGACAATAAGCCGTCGCATCCGCCGGGAGTTTTCAATTGCAGATTTGCCGGACCCACGGCCGCAGCTCTCTATCGGAAGAAAAAGAAACCGACGAGTTTCGTGCCTCCTCCGGGTCTGACGCCGATGGCGGTACCTTTCTGGCGACGACCTTTACCCTCGTCCAGTGAAAACGAAGGAAGCAGCGTCGGATCGCGCGTCAACATTCATCAGAAATTGCAGGAGAAGAAGCAGAAGCAACTGGCCGAACTGAAGATTATAGAGGAGGAAATCAAGCAAGGTAAATTGGTAGGTCCCGAATGCACGGATCCGGACGATAGGCAACCAATTCCACGCATCAAGCGTCACCTGGAGCCGCAACTGCTGAGTTTAGCATCGCTCAACAACCTGGCCAGTTACGGCGTGAATTTGAATAGACGTCCACCGCCTAGAGCACCGCGTTCACGAACTCCTGAACTTCTATTAGCTCCCAGGTATCTCTACTGCGACTGTTCCATTCCAGAGCCAGAACCAGTCGAGTTACCCGGTCAACCCAATTCGGATATCGAAAGCCAAATCAGCTTGCCCAGATCGTACACATTACCCCGAGAATTTAAGTATTATCGAAGGGGGCGAACCCGGAAACCGATTCGGACTATCGCCTCGACAAACAGTTCCGATGGGGACGTCGATTCTGCCGATGATGAGTCCGATCACAATTCGCCGCCGGCTCTGGTGAAACCCTTGCGAAAGCAGTACAGACACGAGACGAAATTATAAACAAAAAATGCCAATTTACCTGTAACATAAACGTGCCTTATATAATATAATAGTATATATATATTTTTTTAAATTTAAAATAGTATCTGTATTAATAATCTTATATATATTTATTTAACTTTATTGTGTACAATTTACATCTATTAATAATATTAGTGAAAAATGTTTTATATTTAAATGTTTTGTAGATATTTTTATAATACTTTTTTTTTTAAATTTTATATATAAAGAAAAAATCGAATAAAAATAAATCTGATTGTTTTCTTCCAAAAAAATGTATATAAATCTTATTTGTCCATCAAATTGATGATATTGACTTTCCTATTATGTTATATAACGAATATATTGTGTTATGAAAGGAATTAATAAAACATATTTGTATCCTATAAACACGTCTAGTTTGTTCGCACGAATTCATTGAACCTCATGTTGGAAAGTCGGCTATCAAATGCTCTTATTTGAGTCGGATTGTGATATGTAAAAACAAATAGACTTGAGCAACAGTCAAATGTACATTTGCAACGATATTTGCACGTTAATTCGGTTAAATGATTGAATATATCATGTATGTATAATAGAATTTGTATGTCTATTGTTTCAAAACATGCCATCTTGTTTACTTTCATTAACTGTCAGATAATATTCGAATGTCAATACTCGTAGCAAAATTCTTTTTTAATATATATAAAAAAAATAATAGAGCAAATTGAGAATACTGAAGAATTTCAGAAGTTGGACAAAACAAAATATTAATAATTGTAGTTTTAATGCATGCGCTGCTCGCTTGATTCTATGGAATGCTCACATCATTAAAATAATTAAAGATCTCTAGTCGACTTTCTAATAGTTGCAAGGGAGAAAGTAGAATGTAATAAATATAACATATCCTTCTGTCGTTAATATCTAATAATTTCCAAAGAGCTGCGTTGGTTGGTTGATTCTGCTGCAGCATTCTCGTTACAAGAGAAAAAAAACAAGGAGAAAGGAGGATCAATATAATAATTGAGAGTAAAAAAAGAGGAAATAAATAAAAACTAGTTTTGGACAGCTTTATTACCTTTCAACTAATGTATTCTTCACCCTTTTCTTTTTTTTTAATCATTTACAGTCTTTTGATATTGTATTCATTTAATTAATATATACTTTTTTTTTATTAAGAGAAAATATTTCTATTCAAATTATTTAATATACAATAAAACAAATCCAAATCCATTCAATTGATTTTCTTTAATAATTTTCTTACAAAAAAAAAATAATAAAACAAAAAAAAGTCCTGCAAGTTGATACATTTCCATTTCACAACGCCTAATTAATATAAAGATTTTTGTTTTTTTTTAATAATAATGCAAATATAACACATTTTCAAATGATGTTTTTCCCTTTTTTTGTGTAGTATTAATTTTAATACTGCGGAGGTTGAAGTTCTGTAGTAGTTTTTAAAAAAAATATGAATTTAAAAATAATAAAGAAAAACGTCACAATCAAGAGAGTAATGTAAGTCATTATTCATAAGATACAAGTAGTAGTAGTAGCAGTTATATAATCATGATCAAAATCTAAACCTAAAAAAAACAGAATTCCAAGGGGAGGAGGAATAAATAGACAATTCAAAAATAATATTTGAAAAACAGCTGTAGACCGAAACAGTGTTAAACATATTAAAAAAAAAATACAACAACTTCCAGTGTTTTTTTTTCTTCCTTTTCTGTTGTGTGTGTGTGTTGTGTGCATGTTCCAGTGGCCATCTACTACATGTCTTGATCACAGTCGCGACTAATATGGCCCGGTTTGTTGCAAATGTAACAAGTTTTTGTATTCTCTGGACAATTTCTAGATAAATGCCCCGGCTTATTGCAATTGAAGCATGTCTGGTTGGACATGCGATCAGTAGAACCTGCATCGGGGCAGCTTCTGGCTATATGACCAGGCTTGTTACAGTTGTAACAGGATGGAACATCAGGGCTCTGATGACAATCTTTTGCGAAGTGACCTTCTCCGTTGCATCTGTAGCATCTTTCCATCTCCTCCTTGCAGTCGCGTGCGAAATGTCCAAGTCTGTTACATTTGAAGCATTTCTCGCGACCTCCTCCGTAGCTACCGCCACCTCGGCCTCCTGGGCCAGGTTGAGTACATTCACGGGCAAAATGTCCCGGGCGACTGCACTTGTAGCACACAGTCGAACTCATGATTATTTCCTGGAATTCAAAGTGAAACACACAAACTTAGAGAGGAAAATACGTGCGACAAATGGATTTTTCTAAACGAATCATGAATACATCAACTTTCTACATGGAGGAAGGAACCCGTTTCGTAGATGAATAGAAAAAAAATAAAATAAAAACATAACCTCAAACGATTAGAGAGCGCGACACGATTAGTCACATTTTTTTCCAAAAATACATCGACTTCTTCGCATCCCGATTAATCCAAACGATGATATTAGGCAAAATATATACTTTAATAATTTTATTGTCCTTTATAGCTTCCTTCGGACGATGGAGGTGAATGACAGGCATTTTTTTACACGTGGAACAAAAAAAATAGAATTTCCCATAAATGCGGAAAAATCACCGATTAATATTGAATCCGAGTTGAAAATGAGCTCGAGAGAAACCATGGGACGCGTATTTGTGGCGTGCATTTAACCGATTTCGAAGCAGTAAAACATTGTTGCATTGTTTTAATGATCCACGTGTGATTTCGGAGCCAAACACTTTTATCGTGGCCCCAAAGTGGAAGAAAAATCCGTGACAGTGGAGAAATTATTGAGAAACTCACCTCGATTTATATTATTCAGGTCTTGCAGGACTTATTGGCATACGAACTGATACTTCTTAAACTTGTTTCAAAGTGATTTATACCCATTCAGTTCGACTGAGGTTACACCATAAAACCAACTCTCACTGGGTAAATAATGAAAGAAAGATGAAACGCACCGGTAGTACTATTGGTCAAACTCGTAACTAAGTTCTGCTCGTAGCACGCTTGACTCACGTAGATGTTTCCTCTGTGCTACGATTTTCAATTGGCGCCAAATACGAATTTGAATTTCATCATACCAATATAATTATTTATTAATATCTAACGTTATAATTATTATATTACAATTCATATCAATAAAATATTAAAATAATATTTTATTAAAATAGGCAAATTAATAAAATAAAAACTTATAACATATTTATATAATCATAAAAATAATAAAATAAAAATAACCAATTATTATAAAGGCCTATTGAATATAAGCATTTTCACTCTAAAATTAATATTAACAATTAATTTGTGTTTATTCTGTATTATATATAAACTTTAGTCTTTATATTCTGACAAATAAACATTTGTTCTACCAAGTGTCATACGAAATATGTCAAATTATTTTACAAAACCAAATGAAAATGCTTTTGCAATTAAATGTTTAAAAAGTATTCTTTTGAGTCTATATTAATTTTGCTTAGAATCAAGTGTATAATTACTACAAATTAGTTCTCAAATATAACAAATAATATACAATAAATGCATTAAGGTTTGTTTTGACAATGAAAATCGATTTGTCAATAAACAGTTCAACAGCAAACGCCTAAATTTCGTTATTAAATTAGATATTTAGAACAAAATGGATATTATGTTATATTATTATGTATATTTCTATAATTACTGAAATACTCATGTTTGACTTCGTCTCGATTAGTCAACTAATACAGTTGTTGTTTGAGATTTATTAATACTTTACAACATTGATTTGTTTAAGAACAAAATTTCAACAGGAATATCATATTTTCATAAGCTCAGTATATACTATTATATTCTGAATGCTCAAACTGGTAAAGATTATAACTACTAATAAGATATCTAAAATTCTTAATTCCTCTATAATTATCATCAAGTATTGATACTGTGTTCATTCATGTTTTTTAAATTCTTATCTCGTCCGCCTTAATTTTTCAATTAACTACAAATCTTAAAAAAAAAAACAAGGATTTGTGACAAGACAAGATTTGTGATTTTCATCAGCTTTAAGTCTTGTTTTCATTCTACTTTATTATTATACTAAATGCATTATCTACAATGTTTAAATTAGTTAGGAACGTGTGCCAGATACTATCATATTACTCATAATATATAGTGCTAATGTCTAGTGTATATGTTATCAGTTATGCTGTACAAAAAAAAAAACTATTGAACGCATGTTTTTTTTGAGGTTATGAAAAGGTTTAATTATACAAATTATAAAGAAATAAAACTGTTGTTATACATTTCATACAAATACATTTTTAATAATAAAATTGAAAATCAGTTTCATGTAATAACAGTTAAAACGTTTTTAAATTATAAAATCTCTTGATCCTTGGAAAGTGTGGACAATGAAGTGTGCTGTGCTTCTAAAATATACATACATTCTAAATATACGTATTATTTAAGAGAAAATTGGTATTTATACGATATCAGATAAAATTGCAACGAGATTATTTTAGTCAAATAAAAAATAATAATTCTACTATATATTGTAAATATAACAGTTATAACATTCGTTGCAGATCTAGTTAGTATTCATTCAATCTCGTGCACATAATTATGACTAACTTATTTATTTGTTTTCTTCTCGGGTGCATTTATAAATTATAGTTGCATATGTTATAATAGTTGCATATTCATTTTTCTGTGCTCATTTCATTAACATTTCTGAAGACGAACCACTAAATTACTCGTTAACTATACGAATAATTGGATATTCGTCAGTTGAACACACACACACGTATGCATGTACAAAAAATGTGCAAAATATGCTTTAATGTAAACTCCTCATCATTAGAGACAAGTGTCGAGTTCGTATCATACAGCCGTTGGCCGTTTGCAGCTGCTATTTTTAGTCGTTGTTAAACTTGTTTGCGTTCCCTGAAACATAAATTACAGAAAATTAATCGTACATATCCATGATCTAACTAATGAATAGCTGCAATTGTTTTTCTTTTACAAGTCAACATCTTAGATCTGAGGTTATATTGACTGACAGACTCTTTATTATTAAGTTTTACATATAACATTGAATATTCCAGAATCGACTAATGAGATAAACATAATTTTCTGTTAATCTCTAGTGAAATTCGCGCAGAAGATTATTGATAAAAACAAAATATTATCCAAACAACAACGTGATTAACAGTTCACCAGTTGACCGCGAGAGGCGCACTATGAATAGACGCGATGATTCATACAGTTTATTAATAACTTTATATTACATTATTATTTTTTTCTTATATTGCGTAATCATCATTTCTATATAATTTTATAACGTACATTTGCAAAATGTTATTAAATAATTCTGACATATTAGTACATGGTACAAATATACATTTAGTTAAGGTGACCAACCGTACTTTGGAGAATTGAATACTGTTTATTTTTCATGAACCGTACTATAAAATACTAATTTGTGAGCGAAATTACATACTTTTTACACACTTTATTATTTTTTTTTTTCAAAATATTTTAGGATAAAATTTATCTACATCAGCGATTCTCAACAAATGGATCACGACCCAAAATTGGGTCGCGTCAAATATTTGATGACAGCTGTCACTCTGTGTATAAGTGCTCCTTTCAAGTAGCTTATTTTTAAATATATTTGCACTTTCTTTAAAACGTATACAAAAGTCGTCGCAAATAGAATCGGCGTAAAATGAACCATTATTTACAGTGAGGTAACTATAGGGTTTAGTTCTATATAAGTGTAAAATCAGCAATTAATAAGCGTTATTTTGCATCGCCGTTATTGTGAATCGGCGTAAATCGAACCGGCGCAAAACGACGTTTACCTGTATTAAACTTACTCTATATGTAAGAATCTTACGGGCGCTTTCCCGTTTAGGAAATAGACTCAGGCTGTGGCTGTATCCAGAATCGCATCCAGAATTGTGAAGTCCATCCGAATGACAGGGCCGTCGTGAGCGTAGGCACGAGTCGAAAAATCGTTTGATTTGTTTTTTAAACAATGTTGTAGTCAGCGTGTACAGGATGGGATTTAATGCTGAATTGATGGGCATCACATAAATAGCCAACGTGGCGTATACGAATCGATGATATGTCTCTGATGGTTGCATTCCTGAAAATAACATATAACAATAATTTCAAGTTTTCACACAGCGGATATGAACGTCACCAGATAAAGCTGCAACTTTTATAATTATCACCGGCACCCAGCAGAGGCAATCTGTGAGGACGATGATGCCGAAACGCTGTGCGACTTTATCCCTGTCCTGGCTTTGCTGAGTCGAACGGCAGGCTTTCGTGCTTTTGTGAATTTCGCGAATCATCCTGCTGTACGCATAACATATAAACAGCAAGGCCAGAGCGTTCACGCATATGAATAGCAGTATCGAATACAACCAGCCCTACAAATCTTGTTACAGTGCCGAATTTGGACTGGCGCCTAGGTTGGACCACTTACTTTGGCGAACGGATTGTGTATGTAAAGAGGTAAACAGACTCCGTTGCTACCGTAAAAGTCGTTTCCAAAATACTCTTCACCGACGGACGTCAAAGGAATTGTGGCTACGATCGCCGCTAAGGTCCAAAGGAAGATTAACGTAAAGCTGGCCGCCCTCGGCGACGGTTGTTTTCTGGCCAGCGGTTGCGTCACGGACACAAACCTATCCCATGTTACTAATGACAGTATTAGTACGGACGATTCGCAAGACAGCGTATTCAAAAAACCTACAATACAAACAACATTAATTAATAACACATCTATAACCCTCCTTGTTGTTCACATTCACGACGGTCTTAATTGGACACAATAATATTAATGGATTTACTGCCGTAATTAGAGAACTAGGGTTTCCCTAATTTCATCTACGAAGCGCTCCAAATTAACCATACAAATATTGAACAATGAACGATAACGAATCTCTTCTTTTTTTCATTACCGCAAATATTGCACAGCGTGCTGTGCCTCCATCTCCATTGATGCTGCAAATATTCCCCGCGATATCTGTAATCCACCGAGGCAATTGCAAACAGGTAAATTCCCATCAGCAGATCGGACAGAGCTAAATTTTTAATGTACAGCGAATGCACCACGTTGTTGGTCGGTCCTCCGATAAATCGGCCCAAAAGAACCATCACGTTACCAACGCAACCAACGCTCGCCATTATCCAGACGCTGGTTCTTAATACCAAATTATCCAATAGGTGTTCCTGACTCGAAATTCCATCGCTTTTCGGCTCGCAGACACGTACGTGCGGCGCAAAAATACACATCTCGAAACTATCGAAGTAACTGAAAAACAAAAAAAAAACATTAAAATTAATTTATTTACTAATTTAATTCAACGTTTCTCAACTTCAATCATTTATAACATATATTTTATAACAATTTACGTGACAGCTGTCATATCGCGTGGTTTATAACATAAAAATTATTGACGCTTTGATGACAGCAGTCATTTTGGTAGCCTTTATAAATTTGAGAAACGCTGTTTTAATATATTAAGAAATATTAATATAATAATTACTTATTATTTATGAATGAAAATTTATGACAATAATAAAAGTTATTTAGTTAGCTCACATGTGTTTCAGATTCTGCAGAGATCGTAAAACTTTTTTATCGAATTTGTTGAAACGATTTCCTCTGAAGTCCCTAAATAAATAAACAAATATTTATTAAATAATCCAAATTAAGAGGGAGAGAGAAAGAGAGAGAAATGTAATTTCAATACTCACAGCGAAGTCAGATTTCCCGTGCCTATAAATACGTTACTGTCCATACCTCCAATTTGATTACCAACAAGAGTTCTATAAATATTACCTGATGTACACGATTTGCATATAGTACGCATGTATACTTACAGAGCCAAAAGACGAGACAGACCATCGAATGTGCCGTTCGTTAAATACCTTAATTTATTTCGAGATAAATATCTGAAAAAAAAAAGATATTAAATTACATTATTTTATATATATATATAAAAAAAGTAGTCTAAACTGAAAATGTCATTAAATCTTTAATTTAGGTATGCCCGTTACGTTTGTGAAAAACACTTGAAATTGATTTTCAATTTGTTATGAAACGGCGCCGGTAAAAGCGGCATCAAATGACGCGAGACAAATAATGGTCGTTTCGAAAATGCGCGAACGAACATTTAATTTGTTTCCTTTTGTAGTTGTTTCCCTTTGATGATCGATACGCTGAATTTTCCTATATTTATATTCCGATTACTATTTTCTATTAGCGAGATTAAGAGGCCGACTACTCCTCATCACCTGTAACTAAATCTGAGCAAATAAACACTTGGAAACTTGACGTTATAATTATAGGAAAGGCTTTTCTCGTTAGGTGTGTCAATATATTATGAAATAATTAAATGCTCACTTGATATACGACGCACCAAGGCGCGGAGACAGCTTAATCAGTCACCATAGTTGAGTCTTTTGTGGATGATGTTAATATTAAATTATAGCAAATATATCAATGTTATATAACAAAAAAAAATATTGTTTTGCTTACAATTCATAATTCACTTTATATTTTAATAACGAAATACACGAAAGCATTATGTAATATTCCCCCCAAAGTTGAATTTTAAAGAAACGCTTGTCTCGGAACGGAACGAAAACTATAATAATATACTTACAAGTTTTGTAATTGCGGAGTTAGAGCGAATGTTCCCGGCACAATGTATTCCAACAAGTTGTTTTCCAAATTAAGCGTCGAGAGGAAAGGAAATTGCGGAATATTATTTTCACCTAGCAAACTTATTTTGTTGCCACGGAGATTCCTGCAATATTCACCCAAAAAATATGCAACCGAATGAATATAAATCATGATATTAACTTACAGGTATGTCAGCCGCGATAAAGTTTGAAGCGTGGCCGCATCGATCGAAGATAATTCATTGTTACTCAAGTCTCTGCAAAGACGAAAAATCAATACAACTTTAATTTGCAAGTACAGCAATACCTCGCATAGTCCAAACTAAATTTTAATTGTTGGGGGCCGGCGTTACCGAATATGTAAAAAAAAACAAATTTAAAATGTCAATGTTACCAAAATAAATATTTAAATTAAAAAAACACTATTATTAAGTCCCGTAAACATTTGATTGTACATTATCAGTGCGGTTTCAAGTGGCACTATGTGAGGCATTGCCGTATTTAGTAAAGTCTACTTTTAAAATTGATTTACTTTTCTTTCCAATCGAGCGATATAAATGTAATGCACTTACAGTTCGAGCAATTTGCCGAGTTGCTGAAAAACTTGTGGATGCAGCTCCGAAATCTCATTGTACCTCAGCGTTCTGTCGTAACACAAATATTTATCATAAGTTTAACCCTGATTTAAACGAAAGACATAATAATAAAATAGTAACAATTATTTCATTTTACCATTTTGAAGTCGTCCGAAAAATATGAATACAAATTTAGTATCCCAAATTCGTTCATGACAAATTTCCTTATGAAAAGACACGACCACAATATTATTAGCATACATTGTTGACTTTACGAATATTATTAATAATTTCATTCTATACAACTTTTTTTTCATACATAAAATTTCAGTATAGAAAGTGTTTTTTTTTTCGTGTGTCTTCATTTTATACTGCTGTATTTTTTTGTAGTGGTAAGAAGAGGTTTATGGAAGGAACGTGTAATATAATTGTTGTGAATGTATTATCTCTAAGGGAGAGGAAAGGCCGTAAAAAGGAAATTTCTAATGCTACATTTCTATAATGATAAAAGATAGCCTTCGGACCAATCCAATTAAGTTGGGATATAAAAGGGACTTGTAGGATCGACTTTTTACAAGTAGTTTCTTACGCATGGAGAAAAATATAGCACGACTGAAGAAGAAATAGTGGATTATTGTCTTATTTTATTATCTATAAATAAATAGAGATCCGAAGCGATTTGCTTTTTATTGTCTACAATCTATATACTACGTATATATACTTACAATATTTCCAACGAGTTATTGACTGCGAAAACATCGTCCGGCAGAATTTTAATAAAATTATTGTCGATGTGCCTGCAAGTAATATAATCAAGTTCATTTATACTATACAGTAAAATATTTACGCAGGAAACGTTCATTACGTCTCCAAAAATATAAATAACAGGAAGTAAATGAATTCAATATAAACAAAAATTATCGCATTAGACGTTGATTTAGGAGGAGGATGCGTTAAATATTGTTTTATTTTTTTAATTTTTTATGAAGATCAAACTAATTTCGAGGAAATCTACGCATTCGAATCTATTTCAAGAATTATTACTTACAACTTTCGCAATGTTGTGAAGCTTCTGAAGGTTCCCCGCTCGATCCATCTCGATTCGCATTGCTGCAGCACACTACACAAAAAAATAAATATAAAGTGAACAAGAAATGTTTCCATCACGTGAATTTTGCGTAATTGAAATGTGTCTTGATGTGCTTAATCGATCAATTAAAGGGGTCAATCGATTAGTTCTGTCCGACACTCGCAGATTCCACTTTAGGAATTGAAGTTGCTCTGTTGAAAGCTTATTATTATGGGCACCACGAAGAACGGTCCGAAAGTCCAAAGCAAGCAGTGGCCGCAATACGTTGCTGTACTTTCTGGTGAGTTCATTTAATTCTTATTTGTTTTTATAAATTATCTAAATTTTCTTGATTTGTTAGCAACTGTTATTTCGATTGCTGCTGGTGTGAACATAGCGTGGCCATCACCTTCGATTCCGAGACTCGTGAATGGTGAATTTCCGTACGCAGTGAGCAAAGAAGAAGGCTCCTACATTGCTATTATAACTTGCTTAGGAAACATTGTTGGAGGACCGATCGCGGCTTCTTTAGTCGATATCATTGGGCGTAAATTGACCATAATTTTGATCGCAATACCGCAATGCCTCAGTTTCATAATGATTTCCGTGTCCAGGTAGTTTTTCTCTTTTAAATTTGTAGATATCAACAAGATTGTTTGGATTGCAGATATTCCGTTTGTTTACTGTACTTGGCGAGATTCATGGGAGGAATGGGCGAAGGATCAACGCTGACGGTTATGGCGATGTATATTGGTGAAATTGCGGAGCCTCAAGTTCGCGGTACTCTGGGTTCGTACATCTCATTGACGCTGCGAATCGGAATGCTGTTCATCAACGTGATAGGCTCATACTTCACCATAGAAATGTCAAGTTTAATATGTTTGGTGCTACCTGTTCTGTTCTTGTCAACGTTCGTGTTCATGCCGGAGACGCCGTACTATCTGTTGATGAAGGGAAACGTGTATGCGGCTCGAAGAAGCTTAAGATTTCTGAGGCGAAAGTATAACATCGAGGAGGAATTGAGGACGATCAGCAACGACGTGAACAGACAGTTATCAGAGTCAGGAAGATTCCGCGACCTGTACACGATACCATCGAACAGGAGGGCTTGTCTAATTATATTGGGTCTTCGGACTTTTCAGCAGTTTAGCGGAATCTCGGCTTTCACCCTGTACACGCAGCAGCTGTTCAAGGAGGCCGTCGAGAATATGTCGCCCAGCGTCGCCGCCAATATATTCTCGGGCCTCCAATTACTCCTCACCTTTTTCTCATCAATTCTTGTTGATATTCTTGGACGAAAACCTCTGCTCATATTCTCGTGCGTCTCGTGCTTCTTCATTCTGATAATCGAAGCTGTCTACTTCACGCTCAGAGATTTCACGGAAATCAACGTCGACGTCGTTTGGTGGATCCCGCTGACCGGTATGATCATTTACATCATCGTCTTTTCCGTCGGTCTTGGCAGCATCGTCAATTTAATGCTCGGAGAATTATTTAGTCAAAGCGTTAAAGCGAAAGCTCTCTGCTTGATGAACATATATTTCGCGTTGGCGATGAGCGCCACCACGAAATTTTTCCAATTCATGACCGACCTCAACGGCCTATCGATTCCGATCTTCGTTTTCGGCAGTTGCTGTGGCCTGGGCGCATTATTCTGCTATTACTTCGTTCCCGAAACTAAGGGCAAAACTTTGGAGGAAATCCAGCAGTGTTTGAAGGGCAAAAAATCTTAAGGTTCAAATTTACGAAATATACATAATAACAACAAACAACTTACAGAGTATCGACGATGTCGGGAACTTTTTCGAATATTCTCGCGCTCAAATTAACGAACTTGTTTCCAGTCAGATCACTTGAAATAAGAATTTGAGATTTTTCATAAATTTAAAACTTACTTAAATTACATACAAAATATCGATAAAATCATCGGGATGGAAATCGCCTGGCGCTGCATTCAATCCTTTATATCGGCAGAAAATATCCCGCAAACGGCAATGACACGTTCCATTATACTGCAGAACTGTAATAACATTAAATTATTTGTTTAATACAAATAGATTCTTCTTTTTTTTTCAATTTTACCACAAAAATTCTCAAAATCGTCGTGCTCTGCGCCCGGTCGCTTTTTAAACATATTGTCAAAATAATTGTTGCTATGTGTATCATCTACAACGTTAAAATTTAATAATTAATACAAAAAAAAAACAAAACTCAAAATTATTCTTTTTTTTCTTTCATTTTCATCCTTACCACAATTAAACTCATCGCTTCCATCCGCACAATCCGCAATATCGTCGCAAATGTTGATTTGCGGAATACACACCGTCTTCGTATCAATTTCATCCGTTTCATTGCAATTGAAATATCCTATATCGCATTCAACTGCATTAACTTAAAAAATAAAACAAACTTAGCATGACAATGCTGCCAAAATAAATATTTCGAAAGTCAATCCAGTTTGAATTAATCTTATTGCCACCACAAAATAGAAAATGAGATTCCCCCAAAATAATAAATATTCACCAAATTTTGGAGTAAATGTCTTATGTCGCATTCAACTTAAGACAAAAATTACAAAATAAATTTATTATTAAAATGTGATAATTTCAATTAGATTGATTCACATAACAATGCTGCCAAAATAAATATTTACCATTCTAGTTTGAATTAATCTTATTGCCACCACAAATAATATTTCCCTAAAAATAGTAATATTCTGCAAAATTTTCGATCAAATGTTATATTAACTTTATTCGTTTCATTGCAATTAAAATATCCTTTATCACAATTATTCCATTAAAAAAATAAATATATTATAACTGTTATACACAAGTAAGAAAAAAATATAAACGAGTCCAGAAGGAATTGCGAGACACGAATAATGCAACGTATTTTTTTTTATATGTTTAGATGCATGATTCCCAAACGCATCTTCGAACGTGCATCGCTACAAAATATATTTACATTTGCAAAGTTTTCTGAATACACCACAAATTACCACTGATTTTCTATACGCTTTCAAGATCATCTACAATAATAAATATAAATACAACATTTTTATTTAATAATCAAATTTTCGGCAAAATCAATTGTTAGTTGGGCTGTTATAGTTTTTGTTTTTTTTTTGTTTATAGCCAAAAAAATATTCTACTTATTGCTAAAAATGTTGGCAGGTTGTGAATATATAAAAAAAAAATAATTAAAAGAAAAAAATATATCTATATCAGCGTGTCTCAAACCAATATTGCATAAAGTTAAATATTGAATAGGATTGCAAAATGACAACTGCCAGTTGCGTTAAAATGTCAAAATTTTATGTTTTATAAGATTGAGTTGGTAGCTGGCGAAATTGTGCTTGACAAGTGAAGGGAGTGGAGGTTTAATAAAAGAGGAAGAAGAAGATTGAGTTGCGCGGATAAAAGGTTAAGAAACGCCTCACCATATCATATAAACGATTTTTATCATTATTTTCTTACATTTTAACAATAATAATTTTCTATATCAAATATAGAGCGACTAATAGCCGAATGGTCACATTGATGATCAAATTGTGAATAAAATTATGCGACATAAAAAAATCAAATATATTACTCAAACCGATATTGAGTCGCATCAAATGTTTAATAGGGTCGCGAAATGAGAGCTGTCAAAAATTCGATGTTCGTTAAGAAAGTTGAGAAAAGCTGCAGTATATCATATAAACGATTTTCATCATTATTTTGATACATTTTTAACAAATAAATCGTGAATACCATTTATAGTTATATATGTATACAAATTTTCATGTTAATATTTACTAGCATAATAAATATCGCTATTTAATACGTGCAATCATAAACAGTAATTTATTAAAGCTGAAGTTGCTCATTAACCATATATATATATAATCTGGAATTAGTGGCTTCGAATTTCGTGTAAATACTTAATAACATCGGTTAAACACGAGTTCTGCATCCATTATAAACTAATATTTTCGTTTTGCAGACTTTTGAAAAATTATAAATTTGATGTAGGCTTTGGAATCATTATTTATGGAAACACTTAATTTGATTCTTGTATGCTGTGTGTGTAACGTATTAAAATGAAATTTCACTAATTGCTAGTGCAAACAGGATTTATTACTTTTCTCAATGTTTTTTTTTGTATCGATTGGTACACAAATTTGCTTTTATAATTATTGCAAGAGAAGAAACTCACCAATTTGATGTCGACTTTCGAAAATCCAAATTACAAAAATTATATGTAACATTTTATTATCCAAATATATAGAAATTTCGTTTGGATTTTGTTGAACAAGCCAGATGGCTTTTATAGATAATAAAACATTATTTTCGGTGATTTCATAAAAGATATTCTAAAATCGTTATCATTCCGATGCATTTTATGTAACAACTTTTAATGATTTTGGCATTATTAATGTATACGAATGGAAACTTTATATTTCGTCGACACTAGTTAATATTATAATTGTACAAAAAAAATATTTTGTTGTTCACTTCACTAATAATTTTCTTCGGCAAATCCAGGAGCTGTTTCCAGTATCGCGGCGCGTTTTCGACTGCAGATCGCGCATTTTCTGCGTAAACCTTTAGGGTAGGACGTAGAGATACAAACGTTCATTTACGCCTGTATATTATACACTTACTTAAATATATTTACACCCACTGATGGAGCTAAACGAAAAAATAAATACTTCGAAGAGTGCGGCTTCAATCAGTACGGATTCGCTATAGTACGTTGTGAAAAATTCACAAGGGACTCAATTACAATTGAGCAATATAAAAAAAAAATAGTATACTAATTATATATAATTGTTCTGTTTTCTTTTATGTATAAAGTCAAGTCTATGTTCGTTACTGTTTATTTTCAATTTTTTTAAAGTTCTCAATTAGTCCGGTTTCAAACAGTTACCCGGACTATGAGAGGTATTCCAGTATTGTTGTTTTCAAGGATTCAGATCATTTTTTTTTTCTCTTTCGGTACGTAAATGTAAAACGATCGTCGATTTGATTTTATGTTGCCATCAACATAATACGAGAGCAGAAGGACAATCGGTAGAAAAACAAAACAAACGCTTTTATTATGCGTAACCCGAAACGTAACATTTCTTTTTATGTTTCGGCAAAGTTTATTTTTTGCTATAATTGTACTTTGATTAACGGTTGCCTGGAAACGCACTGTTGAAGATGCGATGACTCGACGACCAATAGATGATGCTTAATAATAGTAGTTAGTACGTATAATTAAAATTAAATTATTCTTGTCGCAATAAAACCGAATCCATTCGGAATACCTAAATAGATAGACCTCCGTGCTCGATACTCTTGACTACACTAATTCTCTACAAGTTCATTCATTAAGTTTAAGTTCCTCAGCTTATGGATCGCGTTACATTTTTAATGGGTCCCTAAATGACAGCTGTCATCTGTCACCTGTGTTAACTGTATAACCACAAACAAATATGTTGGATCGCGAAATGACATCTTGTGTCAAAATGAGTGAAACTCTTGGGTCGCAGTGCAACTGAAAACAAGTGCGATGGGTTGCGACTTGTGTGAAAAAGAAGGTTGAGAAACACTGCTGTACACGAGGAGATGAAACTATTTACTAAAGTGGGATAGGATAGAACTATTAACGTCGCGTTCGAAAAACGCGCACACAATTTATTTGTGAATCAACATAATTTGTGAATCAAACAAATCGATATATTTCTGTACACTTATTATTTTCAATATAACTAATGCACCGAATTACACATTTCTGTTTGCTTTCAATATTACTTGGATTTTGTTTCTTTCTATTTACATTTACGTTCACTTCAAATTTAATAATAAAAAAATAGAAACACATGACAATATATATTTCTTATAATATTGAATACAAAAGGTCGTTGGTTCGTTTCCCAAAAACCAACAAAAATTTGTGGAAACTTATAAACCCGATAAATAAAAAAATGAAAATATTAAATATTATATATCAGCAGTGAAAAATCGTTTAGAGCTTACAATGTTTGAATAGCGTCCGTCTGCAGTATATCTTTTAGAATTTTGCATAAGTAAATAAGAAATAAGTAAAAAAATCGATTGCTTTTGAAAATGTACTTAAAGTTATTTGTATTAATTGAAAGTAATTGTAATTTGTTCTAATGATATATATAAATAGATTTTTTGATAAAACAAAAAAAAATACATAAGCGTTTCTCAACCTTTATCAAACATATTTGCTTGTAGTTATATATAGACCCAAGTATTTCACTCGCTTTGACACAAGTTGACTGCTGTCATTTCAATATTACAATACGTCAAATCCGTCAATTTGTATATAAATTATTCTCGAAATAGCGTGTATAAACATCTGTAAATATATATATATATATATATATATATATATGTGTATAAATGCTAAATTTATAAATACATGTAAACGTTGCGTGTGTCCACATTGAATGTGTGCATTCAACAGGAATGTATACGCTGTTTCTGCATCTGAGTGAAAATCGATGAGTTACATGAATGCAGTTTGCAATCAATGATTAAGTAATTTTCGGTGAAATAAGCAAAGATTAATGATATTCATGGGACAATAAATTCACGCCGAAATGTTTCCTAGCACTAAATTTCCTTCACTGAGCATATAAATAACGAATTCTTGGAATGCATCCGAGAAGTTGAATAATATTATTATTTCCTTTTCGTACATCATTAACACATTGTTGCTTTTTCTCTACTGTTTACCGGATTTACAAAATAAGTGATTTCTCGAGTTGAATCCAGTAATAAGTATTGTTTCATATAATTATTTTATTTTTAAAGATGAGAAAAAAAATGAAATGAAAAGAAACATGAGACACATACTTATCAACCCTTTTAGAAGGAATAATGACATGGAAGAAAGTGTATATGTATAGAAATTTGATACGCATTTTAACTGTATTTTATATACATAGTATCACTTATGTTTTAAGAAATTGAGAATTACTATTTCTTATAATTATATTTTTACATTGTTACTGAATTATAATTTCAAATTATTTTCGTTATTTCATACATAATTAACATTAGATTTGTATAATGTTGTTTGTATTATTCAATAACCAAGTGGATCCTCTCATCATCTTCGTCAAAGCTGTTCTTGTCCCTGGGCTCGCCTAACGCTATTATTCGATTCTTATGCAACCATATTTGCTCACCGTAAAAATCAATTCGTTAGTCAGCACTTACCTACGTGGACTTCATTGATCATATCTTCAACTAAAAATAACAATAAGATTATGTTGCGCTTAATAATACATGGATATCACCTTGAAAGAAGATGATATTCCTTTAATCAACACCTGGACATGCGGCCATGTGGAATTCAGCGTTTTTGAATGAGTTTCACAACAGTTTTGAATATTCAAAACGGGAACGCACGCCGACGCGCGCTAATTACCTGACCATTGACCATACCTGGCGCAGAACCATTAAGAAGTGCCAACTGATACTGTTCAAATTTAAAATTTGAAAATTACACCGTCTCATGGTTTAATTAAACAATCATAGTAGGTCTAATGAACAATAATAGAGATTGACTAATTCAATTAATTATAGTTTCAATAAAGATTCATGAAAATGTTAATCGATTAACTATATTTAAGTTCTTCAAAGGGATTGGCAGAAACTAAATATAATTACTGAACAAGTCTTCAATATTAATAATTCAGCTTTGAGATCTATGCATATGGAAGCAGTTAAATTGATTATTGTATTGTAAATTAAATGTATTTTGCTATAATTATAAGTAATTGATTGATATAAGAAACTAAAAATACATTAAACTCGTATAAATCAAGATCGTACTTTTTCAAGAAATTATGAGCGATCTCGCATGTTTTAGTGTTGTAAAGAAATATTGAATAAAACAAAGTTCATTTATTTGCTAAATAATTAATAAATTATTTATGTTGCATTTAACTGAATGGATATTTATTGGGATTTTGCACTTGTTACTGGATTTAGCAAAGCTATTGATCCTATTAGACATTGTCTCCTAGTCGCTATAAATCATGTAGGATTAACATTGTTTGGATGTCAGTTACACGATCAGCGGTTATTTAGATTAGCACCGTTTAGCAGCGTTACTCAATCCAGCATATTTAATTGTAGTTGTACTAAAAGTGATTTTCTTCAATTCTTCTAATTCTGTTAATTGTCTTTTAATAAAAGATTGTCTTCTACTGGTGATACAGATTCTTCGGAAATTTTATTAAAAAACAAACAACATTTGCAACTATCTAACAACAATAAAATGCTTGACACATAAAATACATAGATTTTGGCTTAATTATATTCGTTATTTGACACATAGAGTAATTAATAGTAGAGTAATTGATATTAGTTTTGTATAATTTATATGGATTATTCAATAACCAAGTAGATCCTCCTCTTCTTCATCGAAGCTGTCCTCGTCTCCGGGCTCACCTAATGCGTTTACAAATTCTGCAAAAGGAAAAATGTACATGACTATTATGCAACCATATTTGCTTACCGTAAAAATCAATTCGCCCGTCACCATCGACATCCACTTCTTTGATCATATCTTCAACTAAAAATAACAATAAGATTGAACTTATTAGTGCATTTTTGTTTGTTTGTAGAATCTTCACATACTTTCTTCCTCTGATAAATCTTCGCCTAAACACTGTAAAACGGCCCTCAAATCGGAGGCTGTAATGTATCCTCTGTTGTGTTTATCGAAGACGCGGAAAGCATCCCTCAATTCCTTTTCTTCATCTCCCGGTTGAATTGCTGCATCCGCTCCGCCGCTCGCCGACCACGCTATATCCATGAATTCCTCAAAACTGACGTTACCATCGCCTACAAAAGATTGCAATAATGAATAAAATTGATATATTTGTATTATTTAAAGCAAATACCATCGGCATCGACCTCTTGCAACATCTGTTGCAACTCTTCGCTCCTGGCGAATTGACCCAGAGATCGCATCACTCTCCCAAGCTCTTCCTTCGTGATACTGCCATCACCATCTTTGTCGAACAGTCTGAACGCTTCGCGGAATTCTTAAATACAAAATACCCCATCATTACATTCATTAAAACATCAATTAATACGCACGAACCTTTCATTTGACTCTTAGAGACGTTCGCGTATCTCGCGGAATTCTTCGAGATTCGGCATTTCTCCGTCGATTTTCCCGTCCGCAACAGCTGAACCGGCCTATCGGGCGGATTTGGATCAATCAGTTGGATGGGATTCGGTCCAACGTCGCGATCGGCGACGTTTCGAGTCTTCAACAAAACAAATAATATCATAATGTCACTTCATCAATTACTGTATTATAATACCATCAAATCCTTGATGTGATTAACGATCGGCGAAGAAGTAAAGAAATTGTTTACAGCGCTAAACAATTTGTTGCCCTCCAGTTTGAATGCTTCTCGATACGTTATTTGTTAAAAAATAATAATAATAATCTGCAAAAAGTTATGTAATGAGTTTTGCAACGAGTTGAAAGGTGTGTTGCATACGGTTATGAAGAAAAAAAGAACAAGCCTATTTACCTTATTATTATTTTCAATTGTGTTTTAATGAGGGCGGGTATCCGTTTATTTTGCACACTGCACCAAATTGTGAATTGGAACTACCCCCGACGACTATTGGGCGTCGGATCGCGTCTGCGCCCCATTCGCAATATATTTTCAGGGGTCGACAAATCCGTTCCTAAATACAAAATAAATATTAACATCATCATTTCTTTTTATTTCTGCATACTACTAGAGACGCTCTGCAAGTTCTTTGAATTGTATTGAACATGCAACGGACATTATATAATTAAGCAAACAAAGAGTACGCTTATTGTGGGCCGTATTCGAGTCATTTAGTATCAATTGAACCTAATTCAAGGTTATTAAATTGAATTCGTCCTCTCTTGAGAAAATGCTTCAATGGATGTACGCATAGGGAAGTTGACTACTACAAAAAGAACACTAATTTCGAGGCGAGTGTCATGACCTCTCTCTTTCTCCGCCACGTAATAATTGAATATCAATCAATTATCATTGAAGACGTAAAGAAATTATAGAATTATTGCATTACAGCAGTCGATCATATCAGAATCGAATCAGATGGAAAGACGGCAACATCATCGGAATGCTGCTCGTAATTTAATGTTAAACAATGAATGAAACGGATTACATGTTGTTGCAGTTGGTAGCGAGCGATTTGCAGGCTTTGTTTGTAGGTAGGTTTGGGTTTGGCGTGGTGGCGTGATTCTTCACAAAATCGTTAGTGAAAAGGGAATTTAACAGCGCGCATGACTGCGACAATTTACATACACATTTCAACTCTATGTCCATCGTAATTTCTTTAATTCACAATAACATGGATTAAGAAATTACGATTGGCTGGACTTTGGAATTGTGAAAAGAAATGAATGGGGAACGTTTGAAAAAAAAAATAATAATAAATGACGGTGAACAGCGGAAACCGTTGAATACACCAGCACACTATGATCCGGGTATAAAAGAGTCGCACTCGCGGCACCGGCTTTTAGAGCTGCTCGTAGACTCGCGGTGAAAACGTTGAGAACACAGGTTTTTCCCCTTTTTTGATTTATTAATCAAACAAAATCATCTAAAATGGAAGCTTTTTTGCAAAAGAAATACAAACTGGTCAACAGCGAAAACTTCGATGAATTCATGAAAGCTGTCGGTGAGTGAAGATTATAACTGCTTTTTTTTAAACTTACGCTTGTGTATATCCACCTATTATTACCACACATTCGAGCTATATATAAATATTTTAAATATACCACTTTTTTTTTATTTCGTGAACTCAAGAGAAAACTGTTAAAATTGCGAAGAAACAGAAATTCAATAATATTATTACGCTGCGTGTAGCAATAAAAAAGATGTTACAGTAATTTAATTCCTTGTTATAATAATAATAATGTGATGTTTTGCTACTTGCGGTATATATACAGGTTACCAGAAATAAAATGAAAATTAAAAAGGACAACATTTTTGTTTCATTATTTTTATGAGTGTGTATGCAATTCTGTAGGTTCGTATGCATCGGGGTTGATGACCGAAACACCTTCAACCCCGCCTAGTATTTAATTACTTACTGGTTTCGCTTGAATTTGATACCTGCTATATACTTACACCGCAACGGTTTTCATTTCTATCGAATTAATTTTAAAAAAAATATTGAAATTGATAATACCTTACAAATATTAATTACGAAAAAAAAAACATATAAAAATAGAATTAAGATTGTGATTGTAGATAATTCCATTGACAAATAATACTCTGTGATGGTTTTATCAATTTTACAAATTATATAATACAAATTGTATTTTCATTATTTGACAACTGTCAAATTGACATTTTTATAATATAACATAATTATAACCTTTTATATAAAACAATAATTAAGGGTTTTTTATATTTTATTATGTTTTAATTGTCATATTTAATCAAAATACAAAACGGTTTTTTTTTAAATTTGTATCAAATTTAATTGTAGAATAACATCGTTAGTTTATGTTTATCTTTAAACATTATGATTTTTTTTTAAATTATTCATCGATTGGTAACTCATTGTATCTTCTTATGCAACAAACGATCAAGAGTAAATTGTATTACAGAATAACGAGTCGCTATTATATGATTCACCATATAATAATTTACAATGTCGAAGAATAACACTTGTTTTTAAAATAATATAACCAGCGTTTCTCAACCTTTCTTGCAGTTATAGACGCTTTGACCAGTTCCAATCATTTTGGCATGAACATAATAGTTTGTGGTTATTCAGTGACCCAATTGTTTATATTATAAAAATGACAGATGCCATTTCACGATCTAATATGTTTGTACTTGCTAAGCGTATTTCAAGTAACTGCGTTTTGATACAAGGTGACAGATGTCATTGCGTTACGCATTAAGAATTTAAAGTTGAGAACCGCTTGCATTGCGCAGCAATAATAGTGGAGGAATGAAATCATTAGCTGTGTGCATATTTTATTATGTAAATGATTGTTGTTAGCAATAATTGCTGTTTTGTTGCTGGTATAATTAAGAATTTAAATTTAAAAAAAATACAAATGATAAGAATATTCGAATATTCGAACTGTTTTGTTTATGTATTTTGCATAACGACAATTAGCGAAGGTTTAGTGTATGTTAAATATTTACCTGAAAATGACCGAAATAACAGACACATACTATAGGTGTTTTGTAACGAAAATAAGTATTTGTTTTTAAATCTAAACGTTTATCAGTTTCGTCCATAATATTTACATGTGATGTAATATTTTATAAATATTATCTGCATATTATTTTCTGTCTGTGTTGAACGTTTAATCGGAAAGTTATTTACAAAATGTGCAATGAATCATTTGTCTGAACGGTACGATAGGTGAGCGAAATAAATTTTCCGTTACTCCCGTATTACAAATTGTTTAAACGTTGAATCTTAACTCTCTCTCTGTGTATGCACTTTTTTATTCGATCGTTGCTTCGATTCTTCGATTAAATTGGAGCAGGTCGCAGTACCTGCGTCTCCTCTCTTTTCTTCTTTTTTTTTGGGTACCATGATAAGCCTGCTGCGAATGCAAAAGAGCGAGAGAGAGAGAGAATTACATTTATTAAGCAAAAAGCTAAAGGTCGCACATTATCGATGATTAAATTTAATCATAACGTATAAATACGGCTGTGATTGCTCCGAGACAGTCAGTACAAGTTTCTCATTCGCTAGACGCACATTTCAACTCTAAAAAACCCTTCAAAAATGGAAGCCTTCGTCGGTAAACAATACAAATTGGATTCGAGCGAGAAATTTGATGATTACATGAAGGCCGTTGGTGAGTTTTCATTTAAAATTACAAGAAAGGAAAAGAAAAAATGCAAAACATACTTGATTGTCGAAAATGTATTTTTTTTTATATATTTTGTTTTCTGTTTTTGTTTCAAACGAAACTCGTTGCTCTTTTATTTTTTTCGTCGTCGTCGTCGCGAAGGTCATCGGGTCCATAATCCAAAGGTACATAAATTAGAAACGATTAAAGTACGCAAATATTTTTATATAAAATAGATATAAAAAGAAAACAGGACGAGCGATCAAAGTACAAAAAATGTATCACAAAACAAAAAGAAGAACTGTTATAACATTCATTGATAATACTTGTTGAACATGCAAAAGCTTTTATTGGTTTTTAATCGAGTTCTATTGTCGATTTAACAATTATTCGCTAATTAACTAATTAGTGTAATTGCAAATGTAATTTTTTTGTTTGTTTTTCTTTGTTAAGGTGTTGGTCTTGTGACCAGGAAGATGGGAAACGCTGTATCTCCCGTCGTCGAATTGAAGATGGACGGTGACCAATACGTCTTGTCGTCCACCTCCACCTTCAAGAACGTCGTCACCAAGTTCAAGCCAGGCGTTGAAATCGACGATGAAACTCCTGATGGCAGGAAAGTCAAGTCTACTTACAACGTCAACGGTAATGTTATCACCGAGAAGCAAATCGACTCCGCCGGTAAGGTCACCATCATCGACAGGACGTGGTCCAACGACGAAATCAAGATGGTAATTACAAACATTTTTTCTCTTATTAACAGTAACACATTTTATTTACACTCTATATTTTTCGCAGGTATTGAAAGTCGACAATATCGTCTGCACCAGAATCTACAAGGCTCAAGCCTAAATAAAACTTTGAAAGTTTAAAAATAATAAAAATTAAAATTTTCTAACGCTTAGGAAACAAACAAAAAAAATGAAATTGTTGAAGCGCTTTTTTTTTGTATTACAAATACATCACTGAATATTTGAAACACGCTTGAGTTATTATTCATTGCCTCCATCACACGATTCCCAACATAACGAATTGCTAATTATTACTTATATAGGTGTCAAATTATACACTTCGCACTAACTGTTGGAAATACAAATTTTGCAACCAACAAAATTTCCGTTCAATTCCCACAAGTATATAAATTTCAAGACCGAGATTACAAAAGGCTCCAAATTATACAAACGCAGCTGCACCTCTATTCAATTGCAGATTTCATAAAAAAAAGGGGAGTGAGAGGGAAAAGGGGGACCACTCATTATTAAACACTCACAAACGAAATAGTACCCATACTTACGTGGAAAATTATGCAATCCCCGGTCTATGAATTCGAATCATTTTGGCCAAAATGTTGTGTAATCTAATTATTGCTTTCCTCCACTGTTATTGCTGTATAAAACAAGCGGTTCTCAGCGTTAAATTCTTAACGAGTTTCAAAATGACAGCTGTCACCTTGTGTCAAAGCTGGTGAAATACACTTAGCAAGTACAAACAAATATGTTGGATCCCGAAATGACAGAGTCGCAAAGTGTCAAATATTTTATATTATAAACAAGGGTCGCTGCGCAACCACAAACAAATAAATGACAATTGTCATTGAAAAGTCGGTGAAAAGGTTGTGAAACGCTGGTATTATTTTTTAAAAAATGTTATTGTTCGACATGATTATATGGTAATGAAATATAAACAATGAACGTAACAAAAAAAATAACCTTGATATACTATATTTTTATATAAAATGTTATTTTTAGCGCGGAAAAAAACCTATGAACTATAGCACTTTTGCGTCATTTCGGCTAAATTGTTGCAGTTCTGTTATTATCTAATATTTCGTTTGCATACTACAGATAATAATATATTTGTTTCTCCAATAAATATTAAATATCTGCACTGTGAATTCGCGAAATATATGAATTTATTACAATCTATTTTTTATGGATTAGTTTATATCTTTGATAAATGTTTTTATTTACGTAATTCTTGATACATTCGCAAACAACCAATAAACAAGATTGATAGATTACGTTATCGCGAGTTGCATAACGTCGAGTGTATTCCTTATCGTGCAATCAATGTATGTTTTTTTTATGCAATAAAGTTACGTTGTTTTTTTTTCTCACGAATTTCATTTAATTATATTGAACGGATGAGATATCAGCTATCAGACACTATATAGATTGATTGGTTTTCATTTGCTTTAAGAAGCAAAATCTTAAATAATTAATTTATCAACTTAATTATTCGTTTTATTTATTGTTATTGCTCGATGTCAGAATTTAATATATGTATGCTATACTTCCTAGCAGTCCTATCCAATTACATGTATTGTTTGTAACACGCAGTATAATAAGTGTAGTTTATGTAAATATTATTGTGTTTAATGTGAGGAACGTATTTGATTTCAATTTACTTCGATAATGGTACATTTCTCAATAATTCAGCTATAAATATCGTATTCAACTCAATATCATTGTTTTCTTTACAGACATGATTCAAATATAGATTTAGGATACACATATCTGTAAATAAATAACAAGTTTTAGTCTTAAGTTTAAATATAATATTAAACAAATTTAATATATGTGCACTAAATATCTGGACCGGCGCTAGCTAATGGACAAGACTTGCTAAATATATAAAACTAACTTCATGTGATAATGATAATGTATCGCCGGTTCTTATATTTGATGAATATTTATATAAATTTGGTATGTATTTTTCTTAAATTTCGTTAGCAGTTAGTGGATTTGCTGGAAATATTGTGGGTTTGCTGCCAAAATAAATATTTATTATTTTCCGGGAAACACACTTTTTGGTGGCAATATTATTTCAAATTAGAATGTCATTAACAAAAACAGTTTTTTTTTTGTTAATTTAAATATTTATTTTGGTAGCATTGTCCCACAAAATTGTTTTAATTATTATTGTTAACTTATTCAGTATCGCCGGTCGAGATATTTGGTGAGTAATTAAATGTAAACCATTAATATGTTTTTAATAAGTATATTTCTTATTGGTGGATTTGTTACTTCCTGTCTGGAAATATTGGGAGTTTAGTGAAACCTCATCAAAAAGTTATTAGTCGTGTCTCACATTTTTCTATTAGCATTTGTTTCTAAGAAAAGAAATTTAAAGCGGTCACACCAGCTGAGCCGGTCCTGCCTACACCATCAAACTACAGAATGAAACAACTTGAAACAGTGTACGTTCATATGAACGTTTGTGAGATCGAAAAAGGAATGAAAGTTTGAGTAAGCTATATTTATGTTATTATTTTTATTCCCTGTTTTTAAAAGATTGAAGAGTTTGTATTGTATATAATGTTGCCTATCTGCATTGAATGGATATCGTGGAAAGAAGCACGCGCCATCTTTGAGAATGCGAGCGAAACGGACATTTCGCTAGAGCGGTTAACGGGACATTTACAGCTGCTCACTATATATCTGTTCTCTTTATCTTTCTAATTTTTGGGCGTCGACCAGAATGGGATAGAGCGTGCAGTACGTTCACCGGTATCGAATAATTCCACCAAGCGATACTCGTTCTGTCATCCGTGGTGAATATAGTAGTAGTGGTGGTGGTGGTGTTGTGGTGCGGTGTATGCTAGTACGTTTTTGCTCCTTGTTATTTATGCTATTTCCGCGGGTCTGTCAAAAAATGTGTACGTCTGTTCGTTATTAATCGTTCCGTGTGTGTTTTCCTCCAGTGTAAGTGGTTATGTGAGTTCACAGTCTGAGTCACTTTTTTTTTCGGGTAATACAATTATCACCATTAGAGTGAAAAGTGTTTAGTGCAATTGCGATTGTTGATTTAGTATGGCTGCGGCCTCGGCCTCTATATTTTGTGATTTCCTTCGTTCTGTATGAAGTTATAATAAATAGACAGAGCAAAAAAATTAAAGAAATACACACACTCATATAATACACAGTTATATATCTATATAGGAATAATAATCAATACAGGTTAATAATGTTTTTATATCTCTCTTATGCTTCTCATAACATACAGAAGAAAAAAAAATAACGAAATAAACTCGTGTACTTTCTCTGCCTATTGATTAGTTTTGCTTTGCTACTTTCTTTAAAATGCAGGTAGTTGCACCCTTATCACAATACCATAAGATATCATTTGACGTTTTCCTCATATTTCGATAATTTTCTATCTTATCTTATCGTTTTAAGTTACATTTGTAAATACATCGATATATCAACAATAGATCCATTTTCGTCGCGCGAACAAAATAAAGTTATAAACATGTCAAACTTAAGTTATTCTAGATTGTAAATATTTAATAATCTGTTACAATTATGCATGCATTATCTGCGCAACATTCCTCAATCTGGTATTAATATTAAATGCAACATTTTTTTTCTTCTTTTTATTTGCTTTATTTGCAATCTACAAGGCATCAATACATTAACATTTATAATACAAGTTTGCATTTAGACGCTTGACATTTCGCCTATTTTAATAGCCTGGGCAGAATCACTATGTAATTGATTGTATTCTTCTTATGTTTCGTTAATATTCAACAGCATTGAATATCTTTTGTATTTGACGTTAGGTTCATGCGATGTTTAACTTTATAAAGAAAGCTGGATCCGGCGTGACCAACGATAAAGATGAAAAAGAAAAGAGGAAACGTGATAAGAAGGACCGCAAGGAGAAACAGAAACGCGAGAGAGCCAGCATGTCACCGGAGGAGTTGTTGCGGCTGGACGAGGTGTGCCCTTTTTTCTGTAAATAATTCTAATTTGTTGCATTCGCTAATCTGTTAAGTTGAAGGTTCGAAAATCGCTGAAGATTACACGAAAACGAAAAGAGAAAGAGAAATTACCCTCTGGAATAACTGCCGACTACACCGCCGATTTTTTGGCTAGTTTGGAGCGCGTCGATCCGCTGAGTATTACCAATTTCAATCATTTGAACGATGGTCACACGCAATCGGATAGTTCGGAGACGAGTCTGAACAGTCTGAGCAAGGGTGGTAGTATGCCCCCAGTACCGCCTCGACCGCCGAAACGGGGGATATTGAAGATGCCCAGAATCAGTGTGTACAGCGAGCAAACGCCTACGACGACGCCAAATCCGACCGATTCTGATAGTCTAATTAGGAATACGTTGCAAAACGAAGTTATAGCTTACCAGAATTTACCTCAGAACGGTTTCAACGCTGACGCGAAATTAGGCAATCTTTTAGTTATCACGACGACGGCGTCCCCGAGCAACGACTCGCTGACGGACACGACGAACAGTTCGTTCGCAACGCCTCCGTTTTCCCTGAGCCCTGTGGGAGAATCGCAGGGATTTCACAGGTGAAGAAAAGCGAAGAAGAAATGTGTATTTTTATTGTTAAAGGAATTATTGTTTGTTCTTAGATGGTCTCACACTGCGACGTTCGATGATTTTAATTTATCCTTACCACCGATCGTTCCGCTCACCTTACCCAAACCGAGAACGCTATCTATTAACAGGCAGCCGCCTCCGAGAAACGATTTCGGCTTTTCGCTGAGACGCGCTATGGTGCTGGACAGGGATTCCGGAAATTCTTCAATATCGATGCGAGCCGTCATTTTTGCGGAACCGGGCGCTATTGTGCAACATCAAAACGAGACTGGTTTGCTTCCGGGTGATAAATTGCTCGAAGTGAACGGAGTCAAAGTTGGAGAAAGAAGTCGTGATGATATTATAGATTTAATCAAAGCTTCAGGCGAAAGCGTCACACTGAAGGTATACCTTTTTCTTATTTCTACGTCAAGTACAACAACAACAGCAACATAGCAAAACAATTTTGACTTGTACGAAAGAACCAAAAATTAAATCGATTCCAAAGTAGAGGTATAAACTTAAAACTTATAACAGTATCATCAAACGCTTTAAGTATTCCGTTCATAAATTACACGCGACTTGCATCCCAAGTAGGATAGCGATATTCAAAATAAACGCTTTCTTCAGAATTCACTTCTATTTTCGTATATATATAATACAACTATAATTATCGACGGCTTTTACAATCGAGCATAAGTCACATCACTGTACTGATTTGATTAATATGAGACGTAACTGCAAATGTTGATATACAAATCTACTTTTCCTTTATTTCACACCTGGGATAGTTATAACAATAGCAAGAAATTCTACTGTTAAAAGTAGCGCGCTTATGAACCGAACGTTGTGAATGTCGGGATTCTTTTTTTTTTATTCGAGTTGCGTGAAAGGTTAGAAGACGAATCATTCAATGCATATACAAAGTTATCTCCGTTATGAAATGTTACTTCACAGTTAAGCATTCTTTCAAAATACAGAATGTTATAAAATATTATTTAATATTTTCTTATTTTTTATTATTTTTTTCTTATCAAGGATGTGGAATAACCGCATAACTACAGTGGTTTTCATTTTGCTTCTATTTATATTGTAAACATAATATACGTAATTTATGTATTTTGTAATGACACAGTTATTTTGAATATTTAGGTTCAACCCGTGGCCGAATTGAGCGAATTGAGCAGACGTTCTGGACAAGACGGAAGCGAAATATTTTTAGATGATGCTAATATCAAAGGAGGAACATTGCGACGCTCCGGTAGCCGAAGATTCAACGTAAATATGACGGTAAATTGCACACATTGCATTGTTTCATTATTTATTAAGTAGGCGATAATGCTTTTTGTCTACATATTAAACGAACATCAATACCGTTAAGAACGAAAAAAATATGGGTCACATATAAGCACGTCTGATATGATTATTAGTAAGTTACACAATTTGATTTTATTAAAATACTTTAAAAGTCAATGCCGACGTTTATATATATAAAAAAAATATGTGTAATACCTACATAAAAATACCCGGTGATTCATTTTATAATACCATACTGGTAGAAAGTGAAAAAGAAACGATTTATTTTTATTTTATTTTTTGGAATTGCTCAATATAAATAGATTTAAAATTTCAACGATTTAAATCATCGTTAATTAATCAAGGGATTACATTGATTTCTCGCGGCGATCGGAATATTTAACTCGGTCTAATTATGCAACTCTATTTGTTTATAGGAACAGGTGGTGGTGGCTTACGTTATGTAATTGCTTTTTTTTTAAAGGAATTATTCACAAAAATTAGGCGTAGTTATGTATTAGCATTTTCTTTTTTTTCTGTTGCGCTTACTCCGTAGTATTGCCATCACGATCTCAACTCGACCTTGTCGCAACTACTGCAGCAGCCGCAGAACATAGTGCACACCCGTTCGAAGAGAAAATAATTTGATTAGCATACTTATTCTTACACACATATCTTCAGTGACATATTCAAATGTTGCTTTTGCTAAACCAAAAAAAAGAAAACGTTTGAAATCATATTTTAAAGTTCAGTGTCTCTTCTCTCTCTCTTCGGGTTTTCTCTCTTTCGTTAATTAACGACATAAAATGAAAAGCGGGTGATTATTTAATTTTGAATTAATTAGTGTGCAGTAGTGTGCTTGTTTTCAACATCTTACTTCATTCTTTGCGTACGTTTGAACGGTCTTGTTGTCAGTGGGTCGAAGATCACAGAGGCGTGCGTACGTTTACGGCGGTTATTCAATTTTCGAGCAAATGTTTCACCTTTCGCCCTTCGAGAACTCTTTGCGTAACGGCGGCGTAAGCAATAACGGAAACAAAAAGTGTCATTCGAAATGTACGGGGAGTGCGCACGGCATAAGGGCTGTAGAAAAAGAAAGATCGAAGATAACTCGTCAGATTTCGAGTGGAAAGAAATTGTCAAGTATTTCCAGGTGCACTGGCAGGAACGGTAAACATATTCTAGACATAACTGATTTGCAAACTGCCGCCCTTTTCCGTAAAATCCCTGGTTATGAACTGCAAGAAAGGTTCTGGTTCAAAGATTTGCTAAACGCTGTTCAGTGTTTCAATGATATTAAGGTAAAACGAGACGAATCAATGTTTTTTTTTAATTATACTCTTTTCTTTTATTGTGTTTATATTCATGTCATTATATAAATCTTGTGATTTGTATGGTTTCATAGAAAACGTTCAAGTGATAAGGATTACCGCTTTCCGTTTATTTAGTTGTATTCTTGTTAGCAGTTCAGTAAAGTGTTATTTTATGTTAGCACGTTTATTCATAAAATTGATGTTGTCTAATTATAAGTGTTTGCAAATTGAATTATGCTTACTATAACTAATCTTTTATTTATTAGGCAACATTTTATTGATTCATTTTTGGTAATTTTATGTAGGCAACTTTTTCCTAAATAAAATGTTAATTAATTTTATTTTTTTTTGTACTTAGGCAAAAAGTGAAGAACAGATTGCTTCGGAAAAGGAATGGTTGGACGCGGAAAAGATGTGGCTGATGCATCGAGGAGGATTTTCGATGGCCAGGAAACTAATCGTACCGGATTTGGAGTCTGGAAAGGTGAGATTGCAGATCGAGCAAACTGGTGAAGTGATAACTGTGGACGAGGATGATGTTGAAAAGTCGAATCCGCCGAAATTCGACAGGGCCGAAGATTTGGCGTCACTGCATCAGTTGAACGAATCGAGCATTCTGCACACGCTTAGACAAAGATTTGCGACTAATCTGATACACACCTACGCCGGAAATTCAACACTTTTAGTTATAAATCCTATGGCGCCGTTGTCCATTTACTCGGAGAAAGTCGTAGCCTTATTCAAGGGCTGTAAATCTGAGGACATGCCTCCGCATATATATTCCATGGCGCAATCCGCTTACCACAACATGTTGTCTGCACGAAAGGACCAAACTCTGTTGTTTCTGGGTAGAAGCGGTTCGGGCAAAACCACAAACTTCCGACACTCCATTCAATATTTGATGACTGCCGCAGGATCGGTCAACAAAATCTTAACAGTTGAGAAATTATCTGCGATCTGGAACATTTTGGAGAGTTTCGGCAATTGCCGAACCGTGATGAACGGGAACGCAACTAGATTCACGCAAATTTTCAGTCTTGATTTCGACCAGAGCGGAAGCATAGCTTCTGCCAGCATACAGATATTGTTGCTGGATAAGACGAGGATCACGAAGAGGATGGACGGCGAGACGACGTTTCATATAATGAATAGATTGTTGTGCGGCGTTGAAGGAAACTTGAGGAAGGAACTGTTTTTCGATAGTCTGACGGGAAACGAGCAGAACGCGTTCTTCGTGCAGCTGCAGAAGTTGGAGGAGAAGCACAGGGCTCAAACCGATTTCGGCAAAGTACTTAACAGTTTCGAGGTGTTGGGTGTGCACGAATCGGATTTGAAGATAATCTGGAGCGTGCTTGCAGCGATATTTCATCTCGGCTGCGCGGGGGCTGCTAAGAGTGAGTTGAAGAAGGCGTTGATTTGAAGTTTTAATTAATTTATATTATTTTCGTAGATTCAAATTCGAACAAATATCAATTTAACAATCCGCAGGCTGCCCAGAAAGCTGCCTTACTACTGGGCAGTTCGGTGGAAGATTTGTCGAGAATTATTTTTGGTATGTCTTCCGGTGGTCTTACCACGCCGAACGCACCCAGAGCACCATTCAGGACGCCATCTCCGACCGACAGAACTTCTGATCGAGAGATGACAGGTTTGGAGGCTCTTGAAGGGATCATCACTGAACTGTACGCAGAAGTGTTCAACTGCGTCGCCAGTTTGATAAATAAATCGATTTCGGCTTCTGCGAGTACGGTGAATTCTTTGCTTCTGGTCGACTCGCCGGGTTTCCAAAATCCTTCGTCGTGCGGTCGACAAGCTGGTGCAACGTTCGACGATTTGTGTTACAACTATCTGCAAGAACGACTTCAGTTGCTATATCATCATAGTAATCTGGTGACACCGAAAGATCGATACGAACAGGAAAATATATCGTTTAATTTTGATGATTCCTCGCACGAGCATATGGCCAATCCCAGTCACATTGTGAATCTATTAGACAAGACAGCTCAAAACACCGTCGTCAGAACATCCCAGATTGACCTACGCGAAACGGATCGCAGAGGACTGCTGTGGCTTTTGGACGAGGAAGCCATATATCCTGGCTCGACGGACGATTCCTTCATCGAACGACTGTTCACGCATTACGGAGACAGAGACTATCAGCAGCTGTTACTTAAATCATCGGGAAATCATCAATTCATTTTGCAGCACATGCAAGGCACGAATCCCGTACTTTACAAAGCCACCGGTTGGCTCAAATGCAGTCGCGAAAATCCAGTGAGAAGGGCGGCACTCTCAATCCTTCAAGACAGCTGCAAGTAAGTCACATTCCATTAATAACGATCCTTTTGTAAACCATTATGAATGTTACTTTTTTAGGGAAGACTTTAGTAAACTGTTCGTGAATTCCCGTGGACTGGGGACGACAAGTTACAATGGATCACTAGTTGGCATAGAAGGATCGCAATCGCTGCGACGCGCCTCCAGCATTCGAAGAACGTTCACCGCTGGTACGGCAGCGATCAAAAGGAAATCCATTTGTCTGCAAACCAAATTCACTGTTGATGGTTTAGTGGAAACTCTGAGAAGAACGAAAATTCGCTTCATCCAATGCATACTGCCTCAGCACAATGCCGGTCTTTGCGAAACCAATTCAACTCTGATATCGACCAAAAACGACAATGGTTTATTGAATGTACCATTGTTACGTTCGCAGGTAATTTATTTACATGTACATCTAAATCGAATTTATTATATATTGGTTTCAATTCAAGATTCGCGGTGGACAAATCCTAGACGTCATCAGACTTCACAAGCAAGGACTTCCCTATTTCATGCCGTTGGGCGAATTTCGTCGCAGATTCCGATTGCTGGCGTTCGACAATAAAGTTGCTAACAACGGATCCGTCTTGGACGAGAGAAGAGCTGTGGAGGATATGGTTTCGGTGATGGATATGGATTCATCCGGTTACCGTATCGGATTAAGCCAAGTGAGTGTGTATTTTCGTATTCGTTAGCTTTCTTTAAGTTTGAAATTTGTAATTTAGTATTTCCCAAAGACCTAATATGCAATGGGGGAAAATATCGAATGTTTTCGTCGCTTGATCCTAAATAAGCGAATCGTTTTTCCTCTCTCTCTCTTCTTTACGTGGATGAGAGGTTTCTAATCATGTCCGCTTTGACTTACATACCCATTTGAAATTGTTTTAGAATGTATGTATTGTATGTATGTATGTGCACCTTATTCAGTGCGTCTAAATACCTATTTTTGAATCAATCGAGATCACTGTTGACCGCATTTCGCTCTTCCGTTGAGAAAAATCTAAATATTTATTCTTAAACTATTTCAATATATCTCAACATTCTGAGAAACTAAGAAAAGTTGTTACATATCAAATTACCACAACTATTGACTTTATATAAATAATAGGACACTCGTTAATTATTGAACGTAAACAAATTGCGATAACATGCGCCCATTTGCTTGCCAATAAACTTTGTAATTAATACGGATATAAAAATAGATGAAAAAACAAACAACGTAATTTGATATTTGTTGGACCTATTAATTTAAGCATTAACTAAAAACCATTTAAGTTTGGATGTTTATTTTTTTGAAGTAAAAATGACATTTGCTGTAGTGCAATGGTTTTCAAACTGACGCTGGTAAATGTAAAACTAAATACGTATTATTATGTAGAAAAATTTCCATCTATTTTGTAGTAAAACTATGTGTACTATGAGTAAACGTTACGATGATGTTATCAGATGTAAATAATAAAATTTGTTCATGCAACATTTGGCTGAATTTCAAAATTGTTTTGCAAAAAACAAGTATCTCACAAGATGAGACGTCAAAGTTTTAGAATTACTAACCTTCTAGAATTAAAAATTAGGCCTACATAATTGAGTTATTCTATTTAAGAATAAAACTTGTAATTTACATTTATGTAAACTTGTAATTTTTTTACTAACCAGTTTACAAATTAACTTGTATTTGATGTAAGTTTCTTGAATGTACTCCAATTACTGAAAATTTTCCAAAACATATTATTTATTTATCTTAAATATAATTTAACATTATTTGTTTAATGCACAAATTTAGACCAGTCAGCGTTCGCTTAACGCGCAAATAAATTATGATCCGCTAAGCAAATATGTATTAAACGGATAGTGAATTTACATGCGTGCATACGTTTACGATTCTTTTGGATACACATGTTTTCGTTCGTTCGTATGAACATTTATTTCTGATCTCAACATTACACATTTATATCTGGGTACAAATTTCAATATTATTTTAGTTGAAGCTGTTATTTTTTCTTCTAAAATGTGTAGAGAACAAAGAATAAATGTGAATACAATCCCAGTCGATTTGTCCGCCTGACATTATTGTACGTTCTTATGAATATTTGTACGTACATTTCTTATCGAACGTACATAGGATGTAGGTGAATGGCAAATTGAAGTTCTACTTATTGCTATTTGATAATTATTTATTATCTAAAGATAAATAATTTAAAACATTTTTTTTCTTAAATTTGTTTTAATATCAATTGTTTATGATGTCGTCCATTGTATAGTTGATGATTCAAAGCTTAAGTATATTAATGTCCCATTTGGACTGACGACCTCTTTCTACCAAATCGGGAATAGTTTGTTTACGATCGATAAAAACCTTTTTTTTGGATTTGTATTTGTGTCCGCATTTCCGTATTTGATACTACACAGTTTTATTTATCATAATTCATCGTTAATTATAAAGGCGGCCACGATGAAAAGACGCGTGTGTTATATAAGGAAGAAATCAAGAACTAGCTGGAAATGATAAAAAAATTAGAACAACGTAAACAATGTTGCATACAAATTATTAAGTGTAAATAAAGTTGTCTGCATCTACTGCGGAGATTTATTAATGGGAATATTTATTTTTTTTGACCGTGCTGTACATCTCGACAGATTATCACATGATCGCCGCATCTAAATTAAGCGAGTCCCCTGGGAGTTGATGAAATGAATACAAATTAGATGAAACTCGTATAGAATTTTCATTCTATACTAAGAATATTAATGCTGCATTATGCATTTCTTTTTTCCACCGAATTATTATAATTTTTCAATATAATGTTTTGGTCTTTTATATATTTACTATTAATGTCAAACTAAATCAATTTCTTTAAGTCTTATGGTCTGAAATATAAAAATAATTAAGATTTTAACTAAATTTATATTTAATTGTAATTGTTTGCGGACATGAGAGAATCTCGCGACGTCAAGAATTTAACATGTTTATTGTTGGGTATTGTATGAACGACGAATTGCTGATGGTACGTTTTGGAAAGTAAAATAAATAAATGTAACACACTTTGAGAAATATGTGTTTATTATACAATTTATTTGATGATTTGTATATATGAAATTACTACATACATAATTTGTGTATATAATTTTTTTTTAATATAAATTATTTATATGTACGCGCATAGCAAATAGTTGTATGCGATCGGAAGAAATTCTAGTGAAAACTGTTTTGTACGTATGTATCGAACCTGTCGCACCTGTATAGTCTGTTACCTGTTTAGGTTATTACTTGTATGGTTTACAGTTGTAGCTAAGGCGAAGAAGAGAGTCTAAAGCGATTCAGTGATGAAACATTCGCGCGCGCCGCAACACTTCCTACTACATGTATATAAATACAAAAAAAAGCACAGCTAACTGTACATTAATTAACCATTCTCATTAAATATACATATATATATATATATAGATAGATATACCAATAAAAAAAACAATATTGAATCTGGGTTAAACAAATAACGGCGTGCCGCTCTTTATTTTTATATTCAAATTGATTAATTTCGGCGTCGGGTATAGTGTAAATCTCAGTCCGCGCTTTTCGGTTTCTCAATAATAATGTTCGGTGGTTTCATGGACACGGTTGAATATTTCGTGTTGTGTTGTTCAACTTGAACTTGAACTATATATAAATAAATACAAATCGGAGCGACGGAATTGCAAAGTATATCATTTTAAAATATAAAGTGTAAAGGAAACAATACTTTCTCCTGTCACCTTAAAGTAGAAAGTCGCTTTACGCTACGAATTCACTTTATAGCTCTTTCGTACATTGAAATAGAAGGGTTTAAGAGGTAATCTATCTATCTCTTAATCTCTCCGCGCGCGCGTTAAATGACCTCGCGAATCTCAACAGGTGATTCCACCAAACAGATGCAATCCAGCCAGTGCGATTCGAGCGTAGTCAAGAGGAAATTAGTTGTTGGTTGTAATCGAAAAGCTGTGAGAAGTAGTGATGAAGTGAACATGTTGAAGAAACAAACCGGTGCAGTTGTTGAATCGCGAAAACATAAATGCATTAACAGCAAGAGTGCGAGATGCGAAGGGAACGTGAAAAATGATAAACTGAAATTCGCCATAGATCATTTCGATAAAATCTTGAACGAGTACGGAGCGGAATCGGCTATCAAAAGCAAACCGAAATTGCAGAAAGCCAAAACGTGCAGCATAATAGAGTCGAAATGCATCTTGAAGAAAGGTATCGCCAGAAGCGATTCCGCCACCACGTTATTCGTGGGACAGAAGACGCAAAGTATGCAAAGGTTGATGACGACAACGGACGCCGAAGAAAAGCAGCAAATCACCAAAAATATCAAAGCTAAAGTCGATTTCATAAACAAAAATAAATCGAAAGAAAGCATAAACATATTAAGGAAGAAGGATAATATTAAACCTGCGACGTCCAATTTAAAGCAAGCAAAAAATACGAAAAGTACTATAACTTGCAGCGCGAATAATGCAACGAAAACTGTCGTTTCAAAAGGATTAAAAGTAAAGGAAATACAACGCGCGCTACTCACGAATAATAGTCATTGCGAAAGTAAAGTTAAAACATTTGTAAAGCGCATAAACAGTCAGCCGGTTTCTTCACCGTTTATAATAAATAGTAAACAACAATTGAGCAAACCGAAGCAGGCCAGCAAAGAAGTTGAAATTGTTAAAGGAGGAAGGTCTTTATCGATAAGCAGCAGCAGCACAAGAAAACCAACAACTTTGAGTAAAATTCCAATCTCTAGAGAGTTGAATAAAAGCATTCCGAACGGTCTAAACGTAGATCGAAATTTGAGTAGTGCGTTCAAAACTAAGAGCATGCTGAATTTAAATGTAACAACAATGACCGCAAGAAAAGGTGAAGTTATGATGAGTAGATTGTCGCAGTGCAACAAAAGTCAAGGGGATATTTCCAAATTGAATGACAATTTTGGATCGAAGAAACGTATCTTCGAAGCGAAATTTGCCGTAGCTTCGAAAGAAAAACCTTCGGCGGTTTTTCAACAAAATGATTCGAAGAAGAAACCGTTCGAGAAAAGCGACAGCGGCATCGAGTTGAGCGGAAGCAGCGTTAAAACGAATTACAGCTCTGACGAGAATTCGGACGATAGCGGAAACATGTCGAGCGGCGTCGATGAACCTAAACAACAATCGTTTTCTAGATCAGAATCAATTTTGCAAAAAAAATCTAGCGAGGTTGTTAAATCATACGAGATTATTCATGATATGTATTTTTGTATTAATTGTTTTTGTTATTTTCTTTTTAGATTTTCTTCAGATCAAGAACGCTCACTGATTTGGAATCGCAACGGGATGAGAAACTTGCCGGTATGGTAGTTCATCTGCAAGCTCACTGCAGAGGACATCTGGCTAGAAAGAAATTGGTGAAGAAGAAACTTCAGGATTTAGCGGTGCGTTGCATTCAAAGGAACGTGAGGAAGTTCATGCTGGTGAGGGATTGGCCTTGGTGGAGACTCCTGGTGCGGGTTTCGCCGCTTTTAAATGTGCATAGAACGGAAGAACAGCTGCGACAAAAATCGGTAATTTTGTATATATATATTTTTTTTATTAAAAAACGAAATATTTTATAATTGATATTGTTTTGGATAATTTTTAGGAAGAATTGGATTTGCTGAAAACTAAATTGGACAAAGTCGAATCGGAAAGGACGATGTTGAAACACGAGAATGACAAACTTGAATCAAAGGTAATATCATTTGTTTTATTAAATTAATTTAAACAAATTTAGTATTTATGACTAGAGAATATAATTATTTGCATAAATTGCAATTGATATGATAATAGCTAGAACAAGTTCTGAGCAAACTAATTTCTTGATAATTTAACAGCTTGATCGAGCTATTCTTTTGGGGATATTATTAAGCAATGTTTGCAGTTAATATTCGTCAAATAATTTTATACATTTCCTTTAAACCAGAGGTTCCAACGGGGTTAATTGTGCATTACAATGTACAAAATTTAAGGGTCGATGTAAAAAAAACATTGGGAACCGCTGGTTTAAACAGTTGCATTTTTTTCGTGTATAATCCGAATTTGCATAGAGCATGCAACGTATATGTGGAACAAGAGACGTGTAAATATAGTTGAAAAAAGAGCATAGAGACAAATAGTATTGTGCACTTTATTTTTTTAATTTTTGGCAAATAGCCACATTAATACAGTAGATCGCGCTATATTTTTAGAAACAACGCGATGCTTTACATATATATATATATTTATGTGTGTGAGTTCGAGTCTAAAAATTGTATTAAAAATAACTTTTCGAAAAGATTTTAATGAACTTTAGGAAATTTTACTTTAATTTTCTTTGATTGCTTTTTTGTCTTTAAAAATAAATTTTTGAAAGATGCACATTCGCGTGGTGGGGATCCGTCCGTCGTGGCTCAGTTACGAAGGAATTGCGTAAGAGTCATCAGTTGGAGCTCAGATTCGAACGTGTTTTGTGTGCTGCTGTGCGCGGGCCCAAATATATTAAGAAATTAAATGCCGCACATACCGTCCAATGCATCCTCCAAATCATCGTACGAATCCTCCCTATATCCTTCTCGATATCATCCCATAAATTCACCGACATCGTATTCTTCCAGCAATGATTCGCTGTACACTAAAACGTCCCCTTACTATTCCCCAGCCTCGTCCACGTACCTTCCGCACAGAACCACCACCAATACAGATAACGTGTATCGACTTCCACCACTTGCACCGGAGCGACGATCCAGAAGAGCGGATCAGAGCTTTCAGTCGATTCCGCTACGATCTGTTCTATCATCCCCGAGTCGTTCCATCACATCCGCTACGCCCCGTCGATCTGTAACGCCGCGGAGAATCTTTCCGCAGAATCACTCTTCTTCGAATTATAATGATTATGACGATAAAGATCAATCACCTATTGTGTTCGACGCCAACTTGACTTTCGTGCTCGGATGCAAAAGCAAAATGCGTTCGAATCTGACCCCAATCCCCGCGCATCTGGAAGATTCGACGGCCTCCAGTTACTTGACCAACAAGATTTCCGACTTTTTGAGTCGGACCGATCATGTAATGGACGAATGGAAGAATATGGATCGCAAGAAAAAGCATATAGACGTTGACAATGATTACTACAGCAAGAAACGACTGGGCAAATCGCGAAGCGCAACGAATATAATGATAAAAGGATTTCAATATTACAGTCGAGCCAGCAGTTGTTCAAGATCTTCTATGGCTCGTGAATTGTCGGAAGATCGTACAGAAGATGAGGCACTATCAACTCTCAATCAATATAAAGTATAAACGTTTTATAATTTTTTTTTCATTATTCTTCAGATGATGGAGATTTCTGCGGATTTGGCGGAGGAGCATTCAACTTCCACCTTGGCAGCCGAACGTCTGGATGCAGAAACTAACGAGAGGATTCGCTTGGAACGCGAATTAAGTGAAACACAGCACAAGAACAAACAACTGCAGCAAGCTTCGGAACGATTGGAGATGGAATTGTTGTACGCTCGGTCCGATTTGGATGGAATTTCCGAGGAGGACGATGAAGGCGAGGGTGAGGGAGTTTTTAAGCAACGCTATGAAAGGGTAGTGAAGGAGTTGGAATTCACGAAACGCAGACTGCAGCAACAGCACGAAGATGACCTCGAGCAACTCGTCGGGTTAAAAAAGCAATTGGAAAAAAAGGTAAATTGTAAAAATATTGCGTTCATTATAATGTTGTATTATATTTTTAAGTTGTCCGATGCTTATGAGGAAGTTGAAGAGCAGCGTCAAGTAGTTGGGCAGTGGAAAAGAAAAGTTCAAAAGTTGAACGGCGAAATGAATGATTTGAAACATCTGCTCGAAGAGCAAGGAGCCAGAAATAATTTGCTCGAAAAGAAACAGCGGAAATTCGACTCCGAAACCCAATTGATGCAAGACGAGCTGCGCCAAGAGAAGATCCTAAAGGAACGCGTGTGCCGAGAAAAAGAATTGTGCATGGCAGAAAAGTTCACGCTGGAAAGTAACATCGCAGTAAGTTTCATTAAAATAGATTAGACACATTGATCATTGGACGCATATTATATATTTAAATATTTTTATTAGGATATAAAACTAGAATTAGAACTGAAAGACGAGAAATTGGCGGCCTTCCAAAGTGAACTGGACGAATTAACTTATGGTGGCAAGACGGAGGAAGAAGTTACATTGTTGAGGAAACAAAAAATCGATTGCGAACGACGACTGCACGATCAAGAGGAAGAGCTTGATGAATTGGCCGGACAAGTTCAGCTGCTCGAGCAGGCGAAATTGAAGCTCGAAATGAATTTGGAGCAGATGAGGAAGACCGGCAAGAAGGAAGCTCAGCTACACGACGAGGAACTTGAGGAGGTGAGGTGCAATGCGCAGAAGAAAGTTAAAAGCTTGGAAGCGCAGCTGGAGAACGAACACGAGGAACGGACGATACTTTTGAGGGAGAAACACGATTTGGAGCGAAGATTGATGGCCGCCATGGAGAACGATAATAATGAGAAGGCATGCGACGAAGCTCTGCTACAGAGATTGAAACGAGACCTGAAGAGAACCAAAGCGTTGCTGAGAGATACGCAAACGCAGCTGGAGAGAATGAAGGCGGAGACGCCCGGCAAGGCGATGATCAGGCAACTGAAGAATCAGCTGGAAGACATAGAATGCGCGAGAAGTTTGGCCGCGAAAGCGAAGCAGACCCTCGAAGTTGAACTTTCGGAGACGCAGTCCTTGCTCGAGGAATCGAACAGACAGAGGAACGACGCCGAGGATAAACTGAATGCGGTTAATCGCGAAAGGAGCGACATGCAGTCGCAATTAGAGGAAAACGAGGAAGAACTAGCAGAAGTTTTGAAAAAATACAAGGCGTCCGTGTCTCAAATGAGTTTAGATCAGTTGGCGCTTCAAGAGCAGGTATCTTTGGTAACCGACCTAGAAATCGAGAGAAACTCTTTACGCGAACAATTGGCGGAATTAACAACGAAATTAGAAAGCGTCGAAAGTATGGGTGACGCTTCATCTAATTTAGTGATGAAAAGGTAACGAATTAATTAAGTCTATAATTTTAAAACAGTAAAAATTACATGGAATTATTTATTTTCAGAATGGAGTTGAAACTTAAAGAGCTAGAAAGTAAGTTGGAACTGGAGCAAACGACGAAATCGCGCTTGGATGTGCAGATCTCGCGATTAAAGGAGGTCGTGGATAAACTGCAGACAGATTTGTCGAACGCTAGACTTAAAGAGCAGAATTCGCAAGATCAAGTTAGAAAGTTGCAACGGAATCTTAGGTAAGACATTGCGTGTTTTTTTTTTATTATATTTAAATTAATATACGTTATTTTCTTTAGGGAAATAAGGGACGAGCTGAATAGCGCTATGAGCAGGGAAGGTGAAACGCTTTTGAAGAGAAAGGAATTGGAGAAACGGTGCGAGGAATTGGAATCGGAGACAGCGACGGCGCGAACCGACTTGAGGCTTGCGCTGAAGCGAATCGAGGATCTTCAATCGGCGATTCAGGGCGACTTGGACGATGATGATAGCATGGAAAATTCCGACAGCGAGCACGACAGTTACAGTTCCGATGATTCGGTGAACACCTTCCTCGCCGCTCACAACAAGGAGAAAAACGACAGGAGATTCTCGACTGCAAGTTCGTCTGGCGGGAAAGAGTCCGGGTCGTATGCATGAGTGGCAGTTTCCATCTGCAGAACAATTTCTTTGACGTTCTGCAGGAAGGAATCGGAAGTTAACGGCCAAGTGCACTACGTATAAATATGTTATTATTTTATTATTATTTTTTTGTTTTGTATCTTAATTTTGTGATAACTCGATCAATTATTATTTCTGCGGATTATTATTTCCTTCTAGTCTTCACTGTATAGTTAAAAGAAGAAAAACAAATAGAAGAGAGAATCATAAAAGTAATGTAGAAACGAAAAAAAAACCAACACGGAGAAATTAATAATACGCAAAAACTCTAAAGAAATATCTTATAATTATAAAAAAAAAGATTTTGTATATGTTTATATTACGTGTATATTTATATTAGAATATTTATCTCAATAGCTCTGTTTTTATTATGAGATCTCCCCTCAGAATGCTGCGCGCACTCGTGAAATATTGGAAATGTAGGAATTAATTAAGAACCATGTAAATTATCGTTTAAGACTAAAAAAGGATCACTTGTGCGTCGTACTGGATGGACATAAATATTTGTGTTTCTGCGATGCTTCTTTTTGGGGAGGGAAATATGTAGTAATATGTAAAATTAAATGATTATTATTATTAAACACATGTTTTTTTCTTATATATTCACTACATAATGATAATATACTAATCATGCATGTATCTATTGTATCTATTAACAAACTTATTATATATATATACTAATATTTCTGTAACATATCCTTAATCCCACCTTCAATAATAAACAATTTTCTTTTTGTAACGTTAACAAAGTTTTGTGTTTATTTATTAATAACAAAATATGTTCTATGACAGTTGTCTGTCCATTTGTCATTAGTTGTAAACAGATGGGTCGCATTACAACTGCAAGTGAAAATGGTGCATCGCGAAATGACAGCTGTTACGTTAAAGGTTGAGAAACGCTGCTTTTCATCGTATTCATCGATATATTAAAAGTTTTCTTTTATTGTTGAAGTATTCAAATCGTCGTATTGGAGCGATTATTGTATAATTCATTAGGTCGTTCATAAAATATTGGAGTAGGGTGGCTATGATGAAGTGGTCAGAAAATAATTGATATTATTGACGGATCAAGGGAGGGAATATTGACAAGGTCAGATATACGTGTTACTCGCTATTTATTCTTAACTTTCAATTACTTGAAAATACGAATATAAAGCTTGAATTCTTTGAAATTGATCATAATAAAATCTAATTGATATCGAAAGCACACTTTTTTGGGCAAATAAACACGAAATGGACGGAATCTTATTTATTTAAATAATAAATGCGCGCGACTCGTGTTTGTGTTTTGTTCGACGTTCCGTTGTTAGGGTATTTTACGGACTGACCTGTGTGTACTGGTCAAAGTTAAAAGCTACCTCGTTAGTTGAGGTCAAGTCATAACGTGGTGCAGTCAATATACGGACGGAAATTGATGAATTTGTTTGATGAATAACGAGTGTAAATTCAGCAATGAGTATCAAGTGTGGATGCAATTAAAAGACACGATCATCGAGTAAGTATGTAAATATAATTATACATAAATAAAAATACTTGCATTCAATTGAAAGAAATTATCGCATTTATAAAACTCACAATTAATTATTTAGAGAAACAACAACTTTGATATATTTAATTAATTGACTTTATAATATATTGATATATTATTAATTTTTAGTGAAACAAAAAACTTTTTGTTGTATAACTAAAATAATTCGAGTAGAAATAGTTTTTTTTTTGTTTGTTTATTATTAACGCGCAAATGGAATGTGTAATAAATGAACGTGGAATGAACTATGTCGTATAATTGCTTTTATCGTAAAGAAATTACACCTTGACAAAACGATATGTTTTCATTTAAATTGTATCGATTAACCCTCTGCTAGAAACGTGTATCGAGTTACTGTGAACTTGAAAAAAAAAATGTAACCATAGCGATGACTACATTAAACATATGCGTATCGCAAAGCAACCCCCTCTTTCATTAAACATTTAAATTATTTAACAAACACAGAATATTTCCTTAGCAATTTCAAAGTTTTTTTTGTTGTTGTTTAATTTTTGAATTTTTAAAACTATGCTTTTTTTATAGAAACAACCCTACTATTACATAAAAAGGTACTAACTAAGGGGAAATTGTCATAGGACACTTCCCTACAATTGTAATTTATGAAATATTCACTAAGAATAGACTGTAAATAATAGAAGACGTTATAAAATATTAAATCTGATTGCAGAGAAAGAAAAGTTTGAACTAGAAACATGTAAATTTGTTTCTATTGTCAGTATTAGCTGAAACTTTTCACTAATTAACGTACTAATAATGTGATTTTTTTTTGTAGACTTTTTTTATAGAGGCAATAGTTAAATTATTATTACAATATTCTCGTCCCATTATGATGCACGATTACATTTCTCATGTGAAAATAAAAAAAGAGTATTATGTCGTGTAGGAATTAATACATTTTATGAATAACAGTTCGATAATGTTTTTTTTATTATTATTTCCATTTGCGCGCGAGGAATGTTCATTGTATATTTCGTGTGTATAACCGGGGTCAACAGTTCATTTGTACTTTATAGAATGGTTCCTTTACAGTAGTCATTGAACGACTGGGCTTCTCTGAAATCGCTTTCTTGACATTTAAAAAGAAAAACAAAAGAAAAAACAATTGATAGACATCTGCGCGTTTTGATTCTTATCCAATTGCTGAATTATGGAAATTCAGAATCATGAATCACATTTTTCACAATAAAAAGCAAATATAATATTGATTTTTAGTACTTTCGATATATTTGCAAAACGTTGATAAATGAAGTAATTAAAAATTAACATTTTATTGATTTTCTCAGAAAAAAAGAATCGATATAATGGATGCAAAAGATGCATATGAAAGTTGAAAATTTGGGGAATGTAGCGAATATTCAAATATTGCTGTGGTTTATCCGTTTCGGAATAATCCACGTTGACAAATAAAGTTTTGAAAAATTAACGCTCGAAAAAGAAATGTCTTCACATTTTATTGATTTTCTCAGAAACTATAATAAATAGAACGTATCCAAAAAAATGCATATGAAACTTGAATATTTAAGTAATGTTGCGAATATTGAGTTATTCCTGTAGTTTCATCTAATGGCCTATAATATAAGTTTCAAAATGAAGTAATGAAAGATTTAATGTACGACAAAAAGCAGACTTCCGTTGCCTTATTTTTCATCTAACAATAATTCGAAATGTCACACTTGTCACATAACATACTCCACTTTTTTTTTCAGATAGAAATCTATGAATCATTCAAACAGCATTAACTGCAAGAGAAAAAAATCCTCGGATTGACGATGGCCGAAAACGTGAAGGTGATCGTGCGATGCAGACCGATGAACCACAGCGAACTGACCCTCAACAGCAAGGTACAAACACTCATTTCCAAATGATTATTAATGATTTTTGTTATTGGTAACAATAATTTCAGGTCGTTGTGAAGATGAAAGATTGCATGGTCGAAATTTACGATCCGAATGAGAGGGGAAGCGCGCTGCCAAAACAATTCACCTTTGATTCGGTGTACAATCAGGATTCGAACACGGAAATCATTTACAATGACATCTGTTATCCGTTGATAGAGGTAATTGATGTATAATTTTGATAATCGTTTGTTAATTGAATTGAATTTGCAGAGCGTACTCGAAGGATATAATAGCACGATTTTCGTGTACGGCCAAACTGGATGCGGCAAATCGTATTCTATGGAAGGCGATAAATCGTCGGATCCACCAGAGAAGGGAATAATTTCGCGTGCGTTCGAGCACATCTTCGAGGCGATTTCTGTTGCTACACAAACCAAGTATTTAGCATTGGTCAGCTATTTGGAGATTTACAACGAGCAAATTAGGTAATTCGATGATTGCTTTTACATTCTGAAGAGTTTAACATAAACCAACTTTCTAAAAGTAGTTTGGCAAGTAATAATGCATTTACACAATTACAACAATTGACTTATGGTTTGTGCGGGCAGGGCCGACCCGATCATTAGAACCAATAGAAATGTTAAAAACGAAAAGAGCCGGGGATGGCCGATCCCTCGTTCAGCATTTAGCGATGTGATTTGCAGCTGCAACTGCTGATTTTTATCGTTTTCCTTTCGAAATTTTTATCTCTTATTTTTATTTCTATTCTTGGCCCAATAAGAATTGTTTAAACCTTCCTGATTCGACGTTGAGACGCAGACACAGCCCATTTTAAAACCATACATGGCAATTTTTCGATAATCACTTCATTTTTATCGAATATCTTTAATGTTTCAGCACTTTTATTTGGTTTAAGGTTTAAAAACCTTAGAAGAGATTGATAATGATAAACTTTTAGGGATTTACTGCAACCACACGAAAAACTGGGACAAGAAAATAAACTGAATTTGAAGGAAATGCCGAATGAGGGTCTGCAAATACCTGGACTGACGCAAGAACCGGTGCACAATGTGCACGAGTGCGAACGTTATTTCCAATACGGAACCAAAAATAGGATGATAGGCGCAACATTGATGAATCAGAATAGCTCAAGATCTCACAGTATTTTTACGATTAGTATAGAGCAGATCTCGCACATCGATGACAAAGAGAACATTAGGAAAGGTAAACGAACTCGAAGTCGTCGGTAATGAAATGAAAGTGGTTACAATTAAAATTGTATTTGTTTGAAGGTAAACTCAATTTGGTCGATTTGGCCGGCTCCGAGAGGCAGGCTAAAACTGGAGCGACCGGAGATAGACTGAAGGAAGCGACAAAAATTAATTTATCTCTTAGCGCATTGGGTAACGTTATATCGGCTTTGGTCGATGGAAAGGCGAAGCACATCCCGTACAGAGATTCCAAATTAACGAGACTTCTTCAGGTAATAATGACAATAATCATCGAAGTGGAAGCATTGTCTGTATTTGTAATATTTCAGGATTCTTTGGGTGGAAACACGAGAACGTTAATGATCGCCTGCATAAGTCCGGCCAGCAGGAATTACATGGAAACATTGTCGACCCTAAGATATGCAAATCGCGCTAAAAATATAAGCAACAAACCGCGCGTCAACGAAGATCCCAAAGACACGATGCTGCGACAGTACCAGGAGGAAATAGAGAAGCTAAAAAAGATGCTGGAATCTCGTCTATCGACACCATTGAAAATAGACGATGACAAACACGATGATGATGATGACGATGACGACCTCCCATCGAAAAATAACAACAGGGAAAGCGATCTGGACACTGAGAGGGATCGCCTGATCACCGAATACGAACAAGAGATGAGGAAACTGAAGAATTTGCACGAACACGAAAGAACGGAAAAGGAGAATATCCTTAAACAGATCGACGTAATCAAGCACGAGTACCAGAAGAAGATTGAGCTGTTGCAGATGAGCAAAGGCGATTCGGTCAACAAGGAGGAGATTTTGAAGAGGATCGCAATGCTGAAAGCCAGTTTAATTGGTGGCGAAAAGGCGGACGATCTGGAATTATCGGATAAGAGGAAACGGAAAAAGTTGGCGTCGGAAAGACGGTTGAGCGCAATAGCGCACGTGTTAGCAAAAATCGAGATGAACGAGGATCGGGAGATCCTGCAAAACCAGTACAAAGACATCAGTCAGGAGTTGAATTCGAAAACGGAAGCGTTGAGGAAATATCGACTCAAAGTATTGTTTTATAAATGTGTATATCGATGATTCTATGTTGTTTGTGTTTAAGGTGAAATCATTGGAGAAGGAGATATGCGATATTCAGGGTGAATTCGAAACGGAAAGACAAGATTATTTAGATACGATCAGGAAACAAGAGATGACGACGCAATTGTTGTCGCAAATCTCGGAGAAGATCGTCGGCACTTTGAAAAAGGAATGCAACTATAGGTGCGTTAAATCAGTGCTTCTTAAACTTTTAGTAAACCCGCCTCCCGCTTTAAAATTTTAAAATATTAATTAATGAGACTTATGTTGTTGAATTCAAACTTAAATCCTTTGTGAAATCAAGTAAAATGTCATCGTGGGTTCGTGATAAATTTATATTTATTTTGCCAATGAACAAAAAATGCAGATTGTCAGTAATTAAAATAAGCAAATTAACGTATATTTGCTATAATGTAGAAATGTTAAACCTAGACATCTGGAAACTATTTTGATTTGTTTTTTTTTAAATAACAAACAAATTCTTAAATTCAACTAAATATTAGTTACGTTTTTTTTATTGATAGTAATTTGGAGGCAATTAAAGAGCAAGCGGTTTGGTTGGACGATTGTCAAAAGTATCGACTACCTGAAATGATTGTGCACAGAACTAAACTACCACCTGCAGGTAACTACCAAGCATTTAATAATTAACTTTCTTAATCAAATTAACAAATGTTAAAGGTCAAAATCATAATCGGATATCTTCGAGTAATTCGGAGACGAGCATCAAGAATTGGAGCGCCCCAAATTCACCGCCCAACTTTGATGTAAACTTTACATTTATAATCAAGCAAATATTTTAATTATTTTTTTTTTGTTAGGGTAACGATATTGTAGGTAATTATTTTAAACCGAAACGAGCGACGGAACTGTTGAATCAGTCGCTGCGCATGGACACGAATCACGTTTTCAACACTTGGCGAGGTAATGGTAAAAGCTGATTGAAGTTAAAAGTTTCTTGCAAATTTTAATATAAACAAATTTGACTGTTTACAGATTTCGCTAGGAATAATAAACCGACGTCGAGTGTGTCTCAAAGTTTCCAGCAAAGATCGCCAAAGAAATTCAACAATTATTTAGTCTCGTCTGAGAATTACCTGAAGAAGCCTCTACGTCTGAAAGCGTTGCCGAATATCGATAAGACGCGGAAAGATCACCTCGGACCGCTTGACGTTGTTTGAGAGAGTGATATTTTGGTCGAATGACAAAGTGATTTTTCGCATGTGTGATAATTTGAAAGTTTCAAATATATAATATATATTTTAAGTCCCTGTTAATTTTTCATATATAATATATTCTTAGAACGTAATTTTCTTTTTCATTATTTATTTATTTATAAATTATTAATTGTCATTGCAAAGTCCGGTTGGTTATCAAAAAATCCGATAACCGAACGACATTTAATCAGAATTTGCAGCTAGAAATAAGTATTAATAATAATATTTTATAACAGTATTATGGTTTTGTAATGCGCTTTGCCAGCTGTTAACATTGTTATGAAAAGTGAAAAGTTAACTTTCGAAAAAGAGTGTCTCACATTTTAGTGATTTTCTCAGACAATAAACTTCCATGGAATTTCCAGTTGAAAAAATTGAAAATATCTTTACGAGTTTTCACGTTTTTTTTCTTAATTGCACGAAAATTACGTAACTTTTGATGCATTTGTAATGTTCGTTACGAAGAGGAAAATCGACGTTTTTCCCGATTTGTTTTCAGTCTTTCGTGAATTTCTCGACAACCCTTTAAGATAATTACACAATTGAAAGCAGAATATCTCACCTTTACAACGAGCCTATTTTCATCTTCGTGCTATCGCGGAGTCGGCTACTAAGAGCTCGAAAACCCCGTGAATATCTCGACAACCACTTAAACTAATTACATGATCATGCTGTCGTCGAGTCACCTGCTATGAGCTGTAGAAATTGTAAAAAAGTGAATAGGATTTTCTTAAAAATCGTCAAAATTGAAAGCAGAATATATCACTTATTAGCGAGATTATTTGCATCTTCGTGTTCTTACCCAGCTACGAGCTGTTCAAATGGGAAAAAAGGGATTAGGATTTTCTTAAAAATCGCTGTTTTGCTGAGAGTTTTCACGTTTTTTTCTTAATTTCTATAAAATTACGTAACGAAAATATCTCTATGGGTTTTAAGAAATTAATTTAATGCATACTTAATTACTCGAAAAGTAATGAATTAAACTGAATAACGAATATTGATATTAAAGAATACAGTACAGAGAATATAATCAGTCTTTCGTGTAAAAAGCTGCAAAATTTGAAGAAATTACACATTTTTTGTCCCGAATTACCAACATTTAGATCTGATCAGCGTATAAAGTTCAATTTCATTTACACTTAACTAATACAAACTAAATAAAGATGAGAAGAGAATAAATTATTATTATTAAGAGATTTTTTTTGTAATAAGACGTGCTAAAATTAATTATGTAGCTTCTTTTACGTGGAATTCCCAATTATCAACGATAATGTGCGTCACGGATTGTAAAAAATTAATTAATATTTTCACGAGTTGGAAGCAGTCTACCGCGCATGTTCAAGTGTAAATAACTTGAATTGACCTATCTTTCTTCAAAACATAACCAAACAAAAGTTTATGTGAATCCACATCCACTTTTAGTCAAGAAATTCGAGATTATAATGCCGGATGATATTAATTTACGAGCGAATCGCGAATTAATCGATTCCGATTTTGCTGGCTACAAACTTTCCTTGGCTTCTTTATCAACATACAGTGAGAAAAACATTGAAACTCCTTTAACAGTACCGACACTAAATTGTGGCTACAAGGAAACGAAACTATTCAGTCTGCACAATCATTTATTTGCTAATAATAGTGATAATGATGTATACTACATTGATGCATCTTTCGTGATACAGCAAATCGGTTTTGATCTACTCAATGGGATATTCAATAAGTCTTCGGTTTGGGAACTTCCAATTGATCACAAACCCACTTATAATCCTACTTTGGATTTCCCATCAGATAAATTAGCAGTCGTATCAGATGGGATTAGTTCCATATATATTTTAGAAATCGATAGGGAAAATTCAGATTGGAAACTGATGAGGAAAATAGATGTCGATTGTGCAGTTGTCATCAAACATAGTAAATTGTTAGGTGATAAGTTACACTGTTTACTATACAATATAGTGGAGAACAAATCTAATTTACTGTGGATCGAAGTTGATTTATTATCAGATCAATTTGATGTGCACAAATTTGAATCACAGGGAGATTTGTATTTTGCTCAGGTGATTGAATCAGATTCCATTTTGGTTGGGGCTGAGAAAACGTTCTTTCCTGAAACAAATGAAGCTGAAATTAAGTATGTTTGGTCACAAGACTCTGACACTATTAGAGTTGAATTCAAAGTAGGGTCTAAAGCAATTGTAAAAGATGGAAACATTCAAGTATTTGATAAAGATGACAATGTTTTGATGGTGGGAAGGTTGGGTGGAGAGTTGAAAGAAAATTCAGTGGTGTTTAATGAAGAAAATGGAACTTTAGCTTTAACTGCAAGCAAACAGGTGTCTGGTGTTAAATGGATTGAATTCATTGAGGGATTGTCTGGTGATTATAAAGCTGATGAGCTGGAAGTCATTGAAGCCAATACTAAATTGAGCAAGTTTACAACTGAAAATGAGGTAAGTTTTCGTAATTTATATTTGAAATTTGGTCGAATTTGAATTATTTTTTGTCAGATTTACTCGTCCAGTTCAATTTGCAATAACGCCGATATGGAGGAATGCGATTTTCCGGAGAACAACAATGCGGTCATCGAGAGATTGAAGAAAACTGGAGCGACGCATAGATCGAATTTGGGTGGCAGCAAGTATCTGTTCAATGCCAAGGATTCGATAGTTTTACAGCAAGATGAGGATGCTAATCTGTGGGAGAACGTATGCGAATCCGAAGAATGGAGATTGAAGCACGTCGCATCGTTGACTGCAATGGGTTACATTCAGGCGTCGAAGCAAAGGAAAAAGATAATGACTTGCTCACCGAATCACGATTATGTGGTTATTAGTGAAAGCCATTGTCACGTCTTCGTGTACAGGCAGAACCATTCGTTCGGCGGGGAATTGAGGAACCGGAAATGCGGAAAAACGTTGCACCAATTGGCGCAACAATTCGTGCTGAATTTGGGACAGGATGAGATCCTTGGCGTTGTTGCCACCGATCATGTTCTTTATATGTTAACCGAAAAGAAACTGTTTGCATGTATATTAAATTGAACTAAATACATTTTATTGATTCTAATGCATGTGTTGGTGATTGTTTTTTAACTTAATGAAAAGGATCCGAAAGATGCTCATGATAGCTGAATAATTTCGAACAGTATTCATTCAATGCTGTGGTGGCTGTCTGTAATTCACGTTCCAAAATGAAGATTTGAAAAATTAATGGTCGAAAAAGCAATGTCTTCACATTTTATTGATTTTATCGGAAATTATAATAGATGGAATTATTCTGTAAGATGCTTATGAAAGCTGGATATTTAGGAAATGTAACCACATTGCATCAATATTTGCTTTTCATTTGTAGCATCTTGCTCGTTTTCTTTTAATCCTTGAGCCGAAAGACCTCGGTACTTAGCACATTGATTGACAAGTATGAACGTGGATGATAGAAGGCCGTTAGAAAGAGAAAAAAATGAAGTAAATAGATCCAAACTCATCAAAGTTTGAAGATGCAAGCAAATTTGAAATTTTCAGACCGTGAAAATCCGCACTATGTGAGAGTTATTATATTACTGTACACTTTCAATGTATTCTATGTATACTATTTGTGATAACACTAGCATTTTACGGAATACACCGAATAAGCGTTATTTATGTTTGCATTTTGAGCATATTTTAAATTATTTGTTATCAAAAAAAATAATAATAATTAAAGAATAGAAAAGGTGATTGAACTTTTAATTGGTGCACATTCCCAAAACAATTTACAATGACAAAGAAAGTGTCGAGCTGAATTTACGCTCTTTGAATGCGCAATTTGATACGGTTTAAGTGGAATTAGTCGTTTGGTTTCGAAACAAAAAAAAAGAAATTAATATAGTTTGTTGTTTATTATTATTACATAAAAAATAGGAAGGGTATAATAATAGAGTTATAAATTACTTAATCACTATCACTAAGTATCTACAAATATAAATAATATCAGACATTCTCTAAATAAATATGTACACGCACGAACAAAAAAAAATAATAATTAATAAGAATAAAGCATATACGTTAAATATATCACAGCAATTTTGGCAAAAATTCATTTTACAGAACGTAAGAGAATAATAATTAAAAAAGAAAGAAAATAATTGTGGGAAAAAGTGAGTGGATTCAAGAGAAATTGGGCAGCCTCAGTTTGGACATCTTGTAGTGTTTGAGATCGTCGTCTTGCGGTAAATCCGTGTGATCTTTCACCGGACTTCCATCCAGATGGACTTTGACGACCATCGGACCGGTTAAGGGAACGTTCACGTAATCCACTTTGTTCTGGACGAAAGGCGTCTTGTATTGCGACGGACCGCTCGAAATTGTGAGGACGTTTCTTGGTGGCAACACTTTGTAGACGGTCTCGATTCTCGCCGACGCTTGACCTTGATAATCTTCGTTCAGCGAAAATGATGATTGATCGTCGTACGAATTGGGTTTCACCGAAGACGTTTCCTTTTGTTTAGGCTTCTTTGACATCATCTCGTGACCTTCCATCATCGAATCCCAAACTGCGAATTAACAATAAACAAGAAATAAATACAAGTGAAAACGCACAATAATAAATATAATAATTAACGAGTTTCCTTATTGATTATTTTATCGTGCGCACATTTCCTTTGAACTCTCTAAAACCAAGGTCTCAAACGAATCTAAGGAATACGTACATATACACAATGCTGACCTGCATCTCCATTACTTGCTTCTATCTTGACCTTATTTAATCTTTTATATAAAAATTCAACAGCAGAGGCCAACAAGCCGCTGCAGCAAGTGATGTTTCGATTTTATATGTTTTTTTTCTTCTTTGCATGAATTTACTCGATTAAAAGACTTAATCTAAATTATATTCGTTTCTTTTGACTTACTTAGTGTGTGTGCTCCCCTTTGGTAAGGATCCATCGTGTCCAAATGATCTTCAGGCATAACTTTCAACTTGTTTAATCCGTATTTGAGCAGATCCTGGTTGCAGTTTTTCATATCGGACGATTCACAAAATGTCTCCACTTGGTTCGCGAACATCGAATACAGATAGGACATCTTGAATAGCAAAAAAAAAAACGAAAATTATATAAATATTCATAGATCAAATTACGAATTGAATGCAATTTTGTACATAAAAAGAGAGTGAAATTTGAAAGAACTTAGATATTCGTTTTAATAAGCTTACCTTTTCATCTTTACTTAAATATTCCCACATGGGTATGGCGGAGGACGTAATTTCACCAAACGCCGCACAAAAACACAGAAGCCCGAACATGATCATCTTGATAATTTATAAATTAATTACGTTTTTTTTTAGAAATAATTGCTGAGAAATTGTTTAGACGCGGAGCGATCGGTTTGTTGTTGAGCAGTAAAATGTTAAACTCAAATTGCTTCGACCGACAACCCAGACATACTTTATATACTGGCCGCAGTGACGTCAGTAAAGAATATAACATTCCTTCCATTCCGGCGGCTACATTATATACCAACCAACTACTACAGAAGCGTAAGAATCACATCGTGGGAAACGATGTTTAATTCATTTCGTTCATTCTTTGCGGATACACACTATTCGGTGTACCACATCATCAGCATCATCTGACGATGATCATCAGCGTCCTCGCAGACAATTTACATAATTTTGGGATTTCCACAAAACCGTTGATAATTTCTTCGTATAAAAGAAATTCTTTTTAATGTCGCTCCATTAACCAATGTTATTTACGAACCACGTTGAAATCTCGGTAAACAGTTTATATTTAAAATCACTATAATTATATTTGCAATTATGAACAAATGCCTCATTTTATACATATTGAAGAGATCGACTTAAAATTGGGCATTTTTTATTATTGAAACATGTTTTTGCTTATTACAAGAAAACAATAATAAATACAAATTTGTTAATTTACTCTAATTTTTAAGTTTATTATAAATGTTTAAACTTATACAAAATTAGAATACATTGCATTGAAAAAAAAAACTTATTACAGAAAAACAGTTACAGGTGCAAATCTATCAATAAACTCCAATAAAAGCCTAATTATTTAAGTTTAATTTGAGTATTCAAACTTATATTTGCCATGTGTAGTTATCGAGTAATCCAATAAAATATGAAGATACTCCACTGAAAAACGTTTTTTTTTTCAATTTTAAATGCTTATTACAGAAAAACAGTTATAGTTACAAAAAATTAATAAACTACAATGAAAGCCTAATTATTTAAGTTTAATTTGAGTATTCAAACTTATAATTTTGCCATGTGTATTTATCGAGTAATCCAATAAAATATGAAGATAATCCATTGAAAAACGTTTTTTTTCAAATTTAAACGCTTATTACAGAAAAACACAGTTACAAATAAATCAATAAACTATAATGAAAGCTTGATTATTTAAGTTTAATTTAAGTAATCTTACATATATTATGTCAAGTGCGGTTGTAGTGTAATTCAATAAAATATGAAGACATTGTATTGAAAAATGTGTGCGTACCAATCTGTCAATACACTCTAATGAAAGCCTGAATATTCAGAAAACAGAAATAGATACAACTCTGTCAATATATTCTAATGTAAATGTTTATATTTAAGTTTAATAGGAGTATTTAAATTCACATTTCTCAATTTAAAGACACCGACTATTGAAATTCAAAATTAGATTTTTTTTTTCAATTCTGAAGACTTATTACAGGAAAACAATAATAGATACAAATCTTACAACAACCTCATATTATAACTTGAATATGTATGTTTAATTTGAGTATTCAAACATGTATTTGCGATGTGTGGTTATAGAATAATTCAATAATATATGAAGACACTGCACTGAAAAAAGTTTTTTTTCAATTTTGAACGCTTATTACAAAAAAACAGTAATAGATACAAATCTATCAATATTCTAATTAAAGCTTAAATGTTTTTATTTAATTTGAGTATTCAAGCATATATTTAGTATGTGTGATTATCGTTTAATTCAATAAAATGTAGTTAAGTGCATATGCGATACTTAAAAGTTGTTTTCTTTAACGTGATTTTATTGTTTATTATGAACGTTTTTTTTATATATACTTTTTGTATCAATATAATTACTCCAAAATCCTTGATTAGAAGTAATCACGAAGCGCTTCCATCCGCGGCATTTGCATTTACGTCCGACTCTTCTAATGAAACAAAGTTCAAAGATTTTATTTTAATGAAATACGCATACGATATAACAAAAAAAAAGGTTAGTTGCACCTTGAACTTAAAGAACTACGGTGTACTGCGAACTTCCGACAAATAAAACGTCCTCTCGATATTTCATTTTATAATTAGTTTTCTATTATTATTTTTTTTTCCATCTTGACTTGTCTACCTCGAAGAAAATAAACGATGTAACTAATAATTTCATTTATTATAAAAACTGTCAAATTTAAACGCTTATTACAGAAAAACAGTTATAGTTACAAATAAATCAATAAACTATAATGAAAGCTTGATTATTTATGTTTAATTTGAGTATTCAAACTTATTTTACCAATTTGTGGTTATCGAGTAATTCAATGAAATATGAAGACATTGCATTGAAAAATGGTTTATTCAATTTTAAATGCTTATTACAGAAAAACAGTTATAGTTACAAATAAATCAATAAACTGTAATGAAAGCCTGATTATTTAAGTTTCATTTGAGTATTCAAACTTATATTTGCCATGTGCGGTTGTTATGTAATTTAATCAAATATGAAAACACGATAAAACTATATTTCATTTTATAATTAGTTTTCTATTATTATTATTTTTTGTCTTGTCTTGTCTACCTCGAAGAAAATAAACGATGTAACTAATAATTTCATATAAAAAACTGTCAGGCGTTCGATTATCGTTTTTCTTACTAATTACATTGTTATTAATGTTTGGATAATGGTTTGAAATTAATCAGTTAGATTTAGTAAAAAAAAAGAACACACACATTGATAGATAGCATTGAACTATAATAAATGTTCACACGCACGCATGCGAAATGATCAAAACATATTTATTGGGGAAAAATTAGAGTTCAAAATGTCAAATAACTTGAGGTATTTGGAGAACTCGTCTTGTTTATTCTACTAAATGTCAAACATTGAAATATTTTTGTAATAATTTGAATATTTATTTATTTATGTTTACATGTGTGTGTGTGTATACTTGGCGAACGAATCTGTCGCCGAAATATCCGGGTCTGGCGCCATTGATGATCGTAAGAATGTCGTGTTGCAGCATATTTCATCTGGACACCAAAAATTTGTATTTTATATATATGGTTCGTAGAATAAACAATTGTCAACTGAATACATTAACTTATGCTCATCTCAATTAATCTGTATATTATCTTGTTATACTAATATTTGCGAGTGTGAAAGAGAGAGAATAGATTTTTTTTTGTATAATCAATTACGTAGATTGCAAACGTCCACAAGAATTTGCGGTAATAGAAATCATCATCACGACGACCAGATCGGCGCCAAATTCCCAAGAAGGTCGACTGACGACCTTCCGTCATCTTACACATTGGATTCATCCATAGTGAGAGTTCAACAACAACCAGATTTTTTTTTGTACATTTATCTTCGCACACTCAGATTGAGTGCGAGAGAAAGAGAGAGAGAAAACATATATTTTTATAAAGAATGTTAAAAGGATCCTTCTTCTTTGCGAAACGGAATTAAATTCGGGATTTCCTTGGTCGACTCGGAATTATTCATAATGTTACCTGCTTTCAAAATTATTTATTATTGTTGTTTTTTTTTATTAAATTATTTCTTCGTTCTTTCTTTCTTCATCATCTCTTATAGATGTAACGATTTTATTTTTCACGTAAATAATCAAATAATTATTTACCAAAGATTCGAGTAGTTTCCATTCAATAACAACAATGAAATTTAACGGTTATATTACTTTTTGTTGTATATTCCCGTTTCTTTAATTTCACAATTATTATCTAATACTAATTATTATCAAAAAAAAGGTAAAATATAAAAAAATTTAAAAAACAAAATTATGAAATTCCTCGGCCTCGCTACAAGACATACTATTCATTTTAAAGATGAAAAGCCAAGCTTTCCAACGCCCTCTTTTTCAGCTTTCTAGCCCTTTGGGAGCTTTCGAAATTCAAGTTCAAAGTTTGAAAGGTAAAATGTCAAAAACGAAATCATGAATTCGCTCGGTCGCATTATACGACACAAAGTCCATTTTGAACATATTTTAAAAATGAATCCAATTCCAACTTTATAGCCCTTCGGCAGCCATCGTAATCAACTTTTAAAATTTGAAATGTCTAAAACAAAATTTTTGAATTGCTGGACACTACACTACACGATACAAAGGTTTGATATCATTAAATGATAAACGTCCAAGATTTTCGAAGCACTATATTCCAGCTTTCTAGCCTTTCAGGAGTCTCCGCAATTGACGTTAAAAGTTTGATGGGTTATATGTCAAAAACGTAATCATGAATTTGCTGGGCCGCATTATACGACAATACGATCATTTTAACTTATTTTAAAAATGAAAATCGAAGCTTTCTAATGCTCCATTTTCCAACTTTCTAGCCCTTCGGAAGTCTTCGTAATCAACTTTCAAAGTTTGAAGAGTCAAAAATGTCAAAAACAAAATTACTATATTGCTCGGCGACACTACACCACACAAAATGCATTGTAGGCTCATTTTAAAGATGAATGCTTTCAAAAATGACATTTGTCAGCGTTGTAGCCATTCATGAACTGTCCCACAATTGACAAAGGCAAACAAAAATCAAAATATTTAAATTGCTCGTCAACCCTTGGAATAGAAATTACATAAAAATCCTAAGAAATCCCATAGATAAAATGTCAAAAATGTTAAAAACAAAATCATTAAATTTGATAAAAAAATTTTTTTTTTTTTGGTTGGTAAGCATTAAATCAAATTATACAAATTAAATGTTGTTGTTATTAAGAAAATTTGAATGTTACATTATCATAAAATTACATAAGTCGCTTCCTCAAATACGCACACAAATCAAAATAGCATCAAAACACACTTGTTTTCGTCTAGAAATATTTTACATAACATAAATTCCTTCCCCTTCCATTTTCCAACTCAAAAAGCCGAACAACAACAACAAAAAAAAACGCCTCTTCTTATTCATCGCACATCTCCAACCCCATCATTCGCGTTTACGTTTCCGTAGCTTCACATGTTTCATGACCAACCAACTAAACAAACAAACAAAAACAAAAAAACAGTTATCTAAATTTGGTGTGTTCTCTTTTTCTTAAACGCAAATGATTCGATTCCTATATTAATTGCACAACTTTCATCATTGAATTCCCGGTATGAGTCAACATGAGCTACGTGTAGGAGATATTTGTTTTGTTTTTTTTTGTATCGTTACTAGTGGAACTACATTTTTATTTATATTCCAAAAACAGAGCAAACCAGGTAAACAACATAACATTCCAGTTTTTTTTTTGTTGGTGCGTTTCAATTTTAATTTTGTAATTAGTGGATTATGATGTCATCGTGTATAAGAATATTCTAGAATTTATGATGAATCTTTAAATTTAGTCGTACAACGAGTAATAATTGTTTTATTTCAAAGAGCATTCAATAATCAATCTTGTTAATGTTAATTAGGATGCGATCAATTTTTAATGAGTCAAAACCAGGTGAAATACACAAAGAATATGTTGAGTCGAGAAGTAAAAACATGTTGAGAAACTCTGTTATATAGGTTTATATAAGCAATTACATCCATTTTACATTAATTCCTGAGTATAAATTGGTTTCGATCATCGAACAACGTTTAGGAACGATTTATGTTTTAAAAAAAAAAGAAGTTTCTTTGCATATGCGTATGACAATAAGAGTAACAGGTGACAGAGGAAGAAGGTTTAGTACAGAAAGTTGATATTAAAAATTAACAACGCAGACTGATAAATCTGTAGACAGGAAAATCCTAGTAGCAAATTCACACACTTCTTCTATAAATTATCAAAGAAATGTCTCGAAAATTTGTAACATTTACTTAATAAATTAAGACAATCATGAAAAAAAAACACGTTATGACTTTCCTTCTAATTGTAATAAACTGCGAAAGTGTGAAACCAGTTGTTTAAGTAATTAATTTAGTCTCAAAATGCAGTCAATGCAGGTAAAACCCATTATTGATTAAATACTTGAAATAAACAAACGAAGAACAAAACAAAAGAACAGATACATACACACATAACTACTTTCATAATTGGATGTAAACATAAACGAATACAAAAATTTCAACAAAAAACAAAAGTTGATATTATTGTAAACATAAACAAACGTATTAAGTATTAATAAATAGTTATGTAATAGTAAATGTGAATCCAGAGAAATACATTTAATAAGAAATAATTTGACCACAAATAGTAATTGGATAGAAATGTAGACAAAACAGAGGTTTTAAATTTAACAAAGCTTTACTTAAATCAACAGTTTAATGGTATTTTCTTAAATCTATAGTTAAATATAGATATATAAAAATGTAGGTCAACTTAAATAGCCAGTTATTTTAAAAGTTACAGATGGACGACGCAAATCTAAAATTAATTCAGTATAGTTTTCGGATTTTTCTATGTCACGTATAGTCTAGATTTGATATTACATAATAATATAAACGTAATATTCAATAAAACATATTTTTTAATTATATAATCATCAATTCATTTGGCGAATTACAGCCAAATTGAATATACATTACATTCCACAAATATTCAACTTTCGTATGCATCTTTTGGATCCATTCTATCTATTATAGTTTCCAAGAAAATCAATAAAATGTGAAGACATTGCTTTTTCGATCGTTAATTTTTCATTGCTTCATTGCAACCAATTGGAAGAAACTACTGAAATAATTGAAAGCTCGCCATATTCCCCAAATATCCAACTTTCATATGCATCTTCATAATCATTATTGGAAGTAAGAAATCGTATATAATCAAAATCATAGTTAATAATCCGCCTCCGCACATCCCTCGGCGGCTGCCACCCCAAAACCCTGTTCCACACCTACAAAACCTTCATCCGTCTCGTCCTCAACTACACCTCCACCATCCTCTCAATTGCTTCCCAATCAAGCCTTCAGCGAATCTACAGCTTTGAGAGAAATGTTATCCGCAGAATCCTCAAACTAAATCTCCAAAATCCCCGATTTTATCCATAAACTCCAAGGCCGACATGCCGCCAAATCCTTCTCCCAGAATCACCACACCCGCACCACCAATCTCCGCCAGCACCCGCAAACCCAAAAACAAAATTCCCTTCCCATCGGCAGTCCTCGCCCACAACGCACCCCCAGATGACGACCCTGACATAACCCACTTCCTAAACACCATCAAACCCATGTTCCTCCACGCAGACCCAAACCTCCGCCTACCAAACCCTGACAACTAACCCCAACCATTATCTTGTGTTCCAGCTAGCATTAAGTTAACCCCATAATCATAAAACTGTTTTTTTTTTCTTTATTAAAAATCGTCATCATGTATACATTTAATTTGTTTCTGGCGGTGGCAATCGCAAGCCCGACAACCAAAATCCCGTCTATCGAAATCTCGACGATCTAAAACTTAATAAGATTATTAATTGTTGTTATTTATTGTTAATAACATAAACTAATTTTATTATAGAATATTTCTTATTCTTAAGTTTTATAATGAATAACACAACGAAAAAAAAAATACAATAATAATTAATATTATTAAGAATAAATAACAACAATTAATAATTGGGCAAAAGAGCCATCGACCTAGGTTTTAAAAATATTTTTTTCAGTAATAGGTACGACTATTAAAATATAGTAGAATAATTTAAAAATGTAATTGTAGAAATTAAAATAATAAAAGACATCCCGACAGTGTCGATTATCGGGATTATGGTAGTCGGGATTTCGATACAGTTGGGATTATGGTAGTCGGGATTTTGATACAGTCGGGATTATGGTAGTCGGGATTTCGATACTGTCGGGATTATGGTAGTCGGGATTTTGATTGTCGGGCTTTCAATAGATGGTCTCTCGGTTGTCGGGCTTGCGATATAGACCCGTTTCTGGCTAAATGAGCTCAAGCTCGCATGTAAGAACTACCACTCTGTATCTTAACAATATAATAAAGGTCTATTTAATTAAATAACAATAATATTAATGTAATTCTATGTCAATATTATTGTTTACTCTATAAATTTTTTTTAGTGCACTAAGTTCTTGTCTTATCAGATGTAGTACAACTATGCCCTATATCTTCTTACGTGTATTATTTGGTGTCAACGGCATCGTTTGGCCCAATTACTATATTTTTTTATTGCGACAGGTTTCGATATATTTACTCAACAAAAAAAATATATAATTTATAAAGTAACGAACTTAAATTATATAATTGTCAAAATGAATCGAAAAAAAAACTGAATGATACAATTTATATTTTTAGACCATTAAATATTTGTTTAGTAATAAAGATAATTCAGTTAATTATCTTTACTTATAATGGCTAATCGCTATGCGCAGAAATTTAAATTATTGTTGAACATCTCTAATTACCAACGAATCCCATTTGTTTTTATTCCTTCTAAACATATATTTACACTTGAACTTGAAGCACACATTACACAAAAGTTTCCCAACCTTCTTTCGACTTCGATCATCCTGAAAAGAAAAATATTTGTTAATCGACCCTTATTTTTTATATTACGCATATAAAATCAAGTTTCGCCACAAATCAAGTTTCTCTTGATAAAAACCATCTATTCAAGTTTTTATACAAATTTTTTTATACACGAATATAGGCAACACATTCCTCAAATAAATATTTAAAAATAATACGCTCGTAAATACGATAAACACCGAAGAAGTCACTAATTCTATAAAAAAATTCAAATAAAAATAATTTAAATGAATCATAGATTTCGTTCTTGTCGAAACTTTTCGAATATTTTCATTTGACAATCACTTTTGTACATTTTCCTTAATGTGCTTGGAAATATTACGAAAGTACATAATGAGATTAAAATTTGACTTTTGAACTGTTTACCGTTTCTTTCATTAATTATCGCACTGTTATCTGTTGGTGTATATTCAGTCACTGTTTGCCCTGACCATACAATAAAATGCATTATTTCATAGAAAATATACATAAGTAATACAGCTTATTCTTCATTTGTTTGATGGTTTAGAACAGCGTTTCTCAACATATTTGTCTGTAGTATCGATATAATTGCTATGAATATTAAATCAGTCACTCGATTTGACACAAAGTGACAGCTGTCATTGGGAGAGCTATTAAACAATCGAAACAAAAATATAGCTTTGCTAAATGTCAGCTGTCACTTTGTGTCAAGAGTTTGAGATACGCTGGTACATAGTATATTATACATTATTGCTTGAAGCATTCGAATTTCAATTCGTTTTTATGAATGCGCATCTCGTGTTGCAAATTGGAGAATTATTCCATGGCGAGTAAATGTTAATAATAAAGCTCAAAGTAAACAGATAGTAGCATAATTTTGTATGTATATATAGGTATAATATATTGCGATAAGATATCGTAGTTATCGCGTATCAAGTGCTCGTATGTTTACTGAAATAACTATGTTTTATAACAAATTAGTGCTGTCTGTAATTCCTATATAGGTTAACAATAAATTCAGTAGAAGAACATAATATAAAATCTTTTATTAATTTAAATACATCTTAAAACTAAATTGTTTTTTTTTTTGTAACTTATGATCACAATAGAGCTCTTTCCAAACAAGCACACTCGTATAATATTATTCGATTATTCAAGACTATATAGCGAAGACTTAATGTATGAATATATATATAGAGAGAGTATAAGCGATTCTATAAACTAAATTTGTGCTTTTCTGAATTTAGATGAAATTTCTTCGCTTGATCTCTCGTCGCCGAATGCGATTCTTCCGTATGCGATAAATTATTATCAACAGACTCAAGAAGACTATACACAATATAGATCCAACAACAATCAGTGTTGTGTTCAACTTCTCTTGGAAGATCTGTTCGGCGTGCTGCTGCTTGCACGCGCTGAAAACTTCCTCAGCCATCTGCGGTATTTCAAAACTACACTCATCCTCGACGCTCCGTTTACAATCGAAAGGTATAAAGTTGACGTTTCGATCCTTTAACCATTTTCCCATTGTCCAACAATCGCATGGATCTTCAAAGTACACCGTCGAATTGTCGAGCACGAAAGAATGCAAGTTACAAAGTCCGGCAACATCCGCGAAAGTCATTGTGAAGTCCATGCCGGAGACATTGTAAACGAGCAACGTCGGGACAATTCCTAAATTGGGAAGGGTTTGTATATCCGAGTACTTGTTATGCGATATGTCTAATAAGACAAGAGGGCTGGTTATTGGAGTCGCGGCGTGTATTATGTCGATGATGTTTATGTTTTGATTCTGGCTGAGGTACAGGTTTTTCAGTGACGGCAAATGGAAGATGACTTCGGGCAACGTCTGCGAAAACGCATTGTAGGACAGATCCAAAGCTTGCAGATTGGTTTTATCCGCTAAAGATTCGCTCTCGATGTTCGTGATCATGTTTTCGGCGAGGTAGAGGAACTTCAGGTACTTGAATTTGCGCAAATCGTCAGATTTAATTTCACGTATTCTATTGTAACTCAGGTCGATGATCTGCAATCAATCAAATGTTAATTAAATCTTATTGAATTGAATTGAATCAATTTGGATTGACTTGCCTCCGCGTCTTCGGTCAGACATTTCGGTATATGCTTCAGATCCAATTTGTAGCAATCAGCACTCTTCATCCCGTGGACTTTCTGCACTTTGCACGACGGTTCGTTTCTGCATCGGTCGCCCATGATTCCGTGCATCGAAACCACAAAGTTCACGATGAAAAATAAGTATTTCGGATTCATCGTTTGCTTGAAAAGCCTACAAACAACAACAACATAAATATTCGATACTCAAATTACTTGTTGTTAATTACAAAATCAATTGATTAATTACTTGTTAATTGCCTGGATATGAAAGATTAACGATATTTTACAGTTTTAGGTGCGCTATTGTTTTCGATATGTTTGTCGGAGACAGAGAGTCAATTCCTTTAATTGCTTAAACCTTGGAGAACAATTAAAGAAGATATGCACAGGACACACACACAATCATATTCTAAAAAATCATTATGCTTATTTTTTTCGTCTTGCACGTACATTTTCAACACACAAATTCTGGTGGAACACTGAGAAGATTAACTTGCATTTCACATTTAAATCACTGTCGTCGCTTAAATCTCCTGAAGAATTTACATTATAATACAAAGTAGGAGGACGTGCGGCATCAAGATGCATCCAGTCCAGTCACCAAAACTCCGAACTTCTTCCCCATGCAGATAATATTAATAAAGTTTTGTTCGTTTCTTTAATTTCTCTCCTCCGTTGCGTTACGAATTGAGAATTATTTCGTTTGTGCTCGCGTCTCGTCACTTCGCTCGAACTGGATAACAAACTTAATGATAATAAATTGAATTTTCTTATGCGGGAGAAATGAACGCGACTGAAACGAACTGAGACAGAGAGATAGACGTACAGAGATAATAAACGCGAGCAATGTCTTAAGTAAATCTAAACTAGCAGGTGGATTTTATTCAATATTAATATTGAAAAAAAAAGGGACATGCAAACCTTTATCTACTTTTGTACCGCACTCTCTGCGTCAGCGTGTGTTGAAGCGAACCGCAGTCAGTTAGAAATAAATTAAAAGCGATTTGAGCATTAAAACCAATTGAATGAGAGCACCGATTAAAGTACGTGCACAAAGCATGGGTGTGTGTAACGAATAGACCAGAAAATTATAATATATTATTGTCAACATCCAATATTGTTACCTTCTTCTACAAAGCCCTTGCAAATTTACAATCTAGATACTTTTTTTTTATATTCATTACTATAACAATACTAACACACTTTACTTGTAACGCACGAAATGACTAAACCTTCTAAGTGGTTACGAGATACGTTTAGGTGATAATGAAATTTGCGGTGATAATTAATTCCTATTTATTTTTTCTTTGATCTTTCAATATTTAAAAATCAATTCAAGAACTTTGAGCATTTGACGAACATATATTTTTTCAGCTTCTTTCAGTTTGTTTCTTTTAAGTTTTATTAGTCATTTATAATTCGAGGAAATTTCGTTGACTTATCAAATGTGTTTTCCATAAAAATTATTTACGTAAAAAGTTTTAATTTCCTGCAATATAATTCTTTTGTTGAACAATCAAACTTTTATTTATTTATTTTAAACTTTATAATAACTTCTCATTCTACAAAAAATGTATGCCTTTACTTACAAAGTTTGCTTCCTCCGTGCAAAATATATTTTCAATGTATTTACATTGTGCAAATAATATAAATACAGACGCATCTGTGTCTCATGAGAAGTTGTCAGCTCTGTCGATTCAAAATATTTAAACTGCGAAAAACACAATTTGATCTTAATTTTATAAAGAAAATTTCATAAAATTATTGTTTAAATCAAAAATAATTTTAAAATTCTGTTCACTTTGGGATCGAATAATTAAATTTATAAAAACCATAGCCAACGCGTTATAAGTCTCCATGTAAAAGATAAATGAATTTAGATATTTCTGTTACGAAATAAATTGAGATTAATTGTAAGTATTAGTGTTTATCAATGCTGTAATGAGAGTATGAAATTAACTTCTTTATGTCCTTTTTCTTTTGATATTTTCTCTTGTTAAACAATCTGTACCAAAGAAAGATGAACTTAAGCCGGATTCAGCCTCTTTGTTAAGCGTTAGTGTTAACACAGCACAAAAAATTGCGCCCTTCATCTAATTGCGCTCGAGTTATACGCTTCTCTTGGTTACGCAAATGTTCGATTTTTAAATTCAAAATTACGTTTCAATTTCCCGCCCTTTTGAAAAGACAAAATAAAGTAGTGTATGCAATTTCTCTTACACGAATATACAAATTATCGTAACATTTTGTCTATTCATTTGTTTTTTACAATAAAAAATATTGCAAGATTAATATTTGTATTAAACTAATTAATGTCCTAATTTAGATATGCATGTGTATAAGAAAAAATCAATAATAGTTATGTGCATGACGGTTGGCAACACTTGCAATATTCAATAAGACATTTTTATCCAGTAGGCAAGGCAAGGTTTAGCTCTGCTACAAAATTTCTTGATTTATCCAAATTTGCCAGTAAATCTACACAAAATGAACAGCAGGGTGAGTGCGTATACAGTAATCGATTACTTAAACTCGTATAAATTAATTTGTGGTCTCTCTTGAGCCGAAAAAATGGGTTTCTTATTGGCGGACTTTTACATAATCACACACTAGATCTTTTCTCAGTCATATTTTGTGTATACTTTATTTCTACATTTACTTGATACTTACATTTGATTATTATTTATTTATTTATTTACAGAACAACATGATCTTGGGTCAAGCCATCATCCGTCACTTCTGCAAGACTGGTGCCAGGGCTCAAACTGAAGTAGCCTCCGCCAGGTACAATCAACTTAAAGGCAAACAATCCAAGTTCCAAGTATGTTTTACTGTTCACAAGGTAGTAATGCAGGTTTTCTAATATTTTATCATTTCAGATCGATGATGGAGTTCCAAGCTACTTGAAAGCAGGATTTGGTGATAAGGCTTTGTTTGCCTTGACAGCAGGTCTTGTTACAATTGGTACTGGTTGGGGTTTCAGCACCTTGTGGGTCATGTCTGCTCCCAAAAACTAATTTTGTTTGTCTGTCTGCCTCCCCACAAGCACCAAACGAAATGTAGTAAAAATTTAAATTAATACCACTCCTGTACTTGTTACATAATAATAAATTAATTACATGTAACAATTCTGTGTTTTCTGTTTTGTTTTTGCATGAACGAATGCTGAACAATTTAAGAATAATGTTTTTTTTTTATTGTATTAGTTTAGTAAAAGTTAATAAGTTAAAAAATAATTTAAAAAAAATATATATTTTCAGAAATCTGGATGGTACAACAATTTTAGAATAATTGGTATAGACTGAGTAAATAAGATTTGACCTATTAGTCACCTTGTGTCAATACTGTCAATCAAAATCCCAACTGTATTGAAATCCTGTCAAACCATAATCCCGACTATATTAAAATCCCGACTATGTCGAAAATGTCTACAA